TGGAGTGGGGCTCTCTGCCCTGGAGTGGGACTCTCTGCCCTGGAGTGGGACTCTCTGTCCTGCAGTGGGACTCTCTGACCAAGAGTGGGACTCTCTGCCCTAGAGTGGGACTTTCTGCCCTGGAGTGGGACTCTCTGCCCTGGAGTGGGACTCTCTGCCCTGGAGTGGGACTCTCTGCCCTGGAGTGGGACTCTCTGCCCTGGAGTGGGATCCTCTGCCCTGGCGTGGGATTCTCCACCCCGGTGTGGTCTTCACGTTGGCGGCCCCATTCTGTAGTCATTCAGCCGTCAAGAAACATTGACAACTCTTCAGAACACCTAAATTTATAGCTGAAAATAAAATAACGTAATTTCCTTAACCGTCCTGTCATGGGGCCGCATTGAACTAGTACTCAAAGGCTCTCATAAACTTTGATTTAAGAAGAAGAAAGAAGAGTTGGGCACGAGGCACCTGACGTGCTAGGGATTGGCGCTCCCTCCCATTTCCATGCCAAGAATTTATTATTTTGCTTTGAATGTCGCAGTTTCTGTAACATTGCCTGTAATATTATTCGCGAGCCAATTAAGATGCTCCTTTGCTGGGAGCTGGTATTTCCTGCAGCCGCATTGCAATTTGAGGAGCACAGGGGACACTCACACAAACCTTGTGTGTTCCAATAATTATTAATTAATATAGCCACCTTAATTATTTCATTGACACACCATCATATCACCTGTTGGTTAGAGTTCAGAGTTCCAAGATTAAAGCAGTGAGTTGTGGGTTCGACCCCAGCTGCCTGTCAAATCGGCGAGGTGGCCGGGCGGTTAAGCACGGCAAAATCAGAACTGTGAGTTGCGTGTTCAATACCAGCAACGATGCACGAATGTTCTGCGATGTTAATAACACTATGAAACAAAATTTTACTACTCATATGAAATTTCCTTTATCTGACGTGTTTTTTTCGGCTGATTCCATGTATATATAGTCAGATGGGGTAAGACAGGACCGAAATCACTAACAAGCCTGTAGCATCTATACCATGAATAACTAAAAAACCCTAAACCAATCACAAGGTGTAGTTATGCAATGGGCTTCTAAGCTACAACTCAGATGTTTTGCATCTAACACAGTTTTCTGTACAGATTAAAAAAAGTGAGCTGGTCCCATCTTACCTCACTGGGGTAAGATGGGACCAGGCATGGGGTAAGACAGGACCAACTGGCAATTCTTATGTTACAAGGTTTTTAATAAAAGTACAAATCTGATATTCAATATTATCCATCTAGAAACACGTTATTTGATTAATCAACCACTTGTTACCGTTTTGTGCTGCGGGAAGTCAACTCTAATATCAGTCACCGTGAAGTTTTTGTCACGAGAAAACTTTGTTAAGCATAGTAATAGAGGGTTGGCTTTGGTTCATTGTAGAGCACTGCTAAATGCTTCATGTATATTCCATTAGTGTCATTGTCTGAAAAATTTATCAAATTGATAATAAAACCAATGGATAATAACTCAAGTATCAGACATCATGTGTTTTCTTGCTAACTGCATTTGTGGTGCACTTCTTCAAACATAGCTCATGCCCTCTCACAGAGTTGTGAACATAATTATTTTTCATGTTTCACACAGTGATTTTTTCCCCAAACAATCTTGCATATAGTTCTGCAGCTTACTAATGGGAAGAGACATCCCTATTTTCTATATCCCTTTGATGCAATTTAAAATAGTGCACTAAATTTCTCTAATTAAAAAAGCTAACAAGTTATAATGAAGTTTGAGCAAAAGATAAAAATTTTGACCAAAATACTCCTTGTACTACACAATAATATATTAATTTAAAAACTATTTTTGATAAATTGTAGGGTAATAGAGGACCATTTGTGGGGTAAGACAGAACCATTTGTGGGGTAAGATAGGACCACTTGTGTGGTAAAACCCACAAACCACTTGTGTGGTCCTCTCTTACCCCATGTCCGGTTCTTTTTTACCCCATTTTAGAATACATGTCAAGCAGTGATGGTAGCAGGATAGGAATGCCTAGTATGTCTAAAAAGTTGCCTATTACTTGAGGTTACCTGCCTACATCCACAAACCTGGCCAAAAATTTTTTTGTCATTAGATAGAGCTTATTTCCCAAACAGGGTTAACTATTTTTTTACCATTTACATAGGTTTTCTTTGAAAATTAGCCAGAAATTCATTATTTGCAGAAGAGGGTTGCCCCAAACGCTGAAATGACAGGCAATGATTGCTCTAACATATTTTTTTTTGTCAAATTGAATTCAGTGCAATTAGAATGCACGCCATGGGCTGGTCCTTTCTTACCCCATGAAGGCTGCGATCCTGTCTTACACCATTTGACTATATGCCCTTGAAATTTTTCTAGCACGTCAGATTTTCAAGTTATGTCTGTGAAAGTATTTTATGCATATAACTTCAGGGTCAGCCTCCATAAGTGAAAGTACATTCTAAATAAGGATTGCCTGGTAAAAGTGTGTTGTGTATTGGTGGTTTCAAATGCATTTTCATTGTATAATAATAGCCGAGATTATATTTTTTAGTGTTTGTACCATTGCTATCGAATTTCCTTAAACTTTTTCACAATTTCATTCCAGAAAAGTTTGATCGTGGTAAATCTAGGTTATTAATTAATCTGAAGGAAGCACTAATTTGACTTTTTTAATTTCAATTAGGCAGTAATTGTTTAAAATGAATCGTCGAAATTGTAACAACAACCCTGACAACTTCTGTTACATTTGTGGCAAATTCACACCAAAAGATCAGAGAAAAAATTTGGCCTCCAAGGTGAAGATAGCATACAAGCACTATTTTGGCTGTCAAGTTGGGGACCAGGATAAAAATTGGGCACCTCATATCTGCTGTTCTAACTGCTATGTCAGTTTAACACAATGGTTAAGCTCAAAAAGAAAGAGTATGCCATTTGCTATCCCAATGATCTGGCGAGAACCAACAAATCATGCAAATGATTGCTATTTCTGCATGACTAATATAGCTGGCTTCTCAAAGAAACGAAAGTCAAAAATATTATATCCAGATTGCCCATCAGCCACCAAACCTGTCCCTCATGGACCAGATCTTCCAATTCCTGTGCCACCACCAGCTTCTCTTTTAGAGGATGAGGAACCTTCGCCAGAAAAGATGGCTTCATCTGACTCAGAAGATGTACATGGAGCCTCTTCTCTTGAACCTATGTTGCTGTTGGTCAATCAGCAAAGACTAAAGAAACAAAAGTCAAAAATATTATATCCAGATTGCCCATCAGCCATCAAACCTGTCCCTCATGGTCCAGATCTTCCAATTCCTGTGTCACAACCAGCTTCTCTTTTAGAGGATGAGGAACCTTCGCCAGAAGAGATGGCTTCATCTGACTCAGAACATGTATATGGAGCCTCTTCTCTTGAACCGAAGTTGCTGTTGGTCAATCAGCAAAGACTTAATGACATTGTCAGAGATATGTCTCTTACTAAAGATAATACCGAACTTTTAGGCTCTAGGTTAAAAGAATGGGGGCTCCTAGAACCAGGCACCAAAACTGAAGTTTTCCGTCGCAAATCAAGAGGGAAGAAACTCACCGTCGAAAATCAAGAGGGAAAAGGCATTTCTGAAAGAAATACCACAGCAAATAGGTAAGACTTTTTTAAACTGTCTTGATTACCATTTTCTTATGTTTTAATTACAGAAATACGATGTTTGAAATGTATAATCCAATATTATTTAATCATGTTCAGATTACCAAATGTTGCATTTTTAGGAATTTCATCAAAATTATTTTTTGAATATCTCGAAAACTATACGTGCTAGAGTACATCTGTTTGTAGATTTGAAATCAGCGACCTCGATTCCTTTAGAGAAAGGTATTTTGGTTTGAGTTATGAATTTTTTTTGTTGAACAGTGTAATCTGCGAGAGTGCTAATGGCCTAATAAACACTGACAATTATATACCATACTATTTTCACATTATATTCAATTATGCCTTTATATATTAATTCATCACCTCATAACGATAAAATTTATTCCAAAGACGTACCGAAAAATTCATTCCCGTAGGTGATAAATATATAAGAAATTGTTAGTAAATTATACAACTTATGATCGATATCTAAAATTAGGCTGTTTTCTTGAATCAAAATTTGAGCAATACTTGGGTGCCCTTGAATATAATTAGTTGACTTCAAGAATTTGAAAATCCACAAAAAAGTTTTTCAGGGAAGAATGAGTCGTACAAAACTGTTTGTTTAAAATCATTTTTCTAAAAGCTTTACCGATAAAATCTCCTCAATTGGCTATTTGCCGTATGATGCTAGTTTACAATTACGATATTTATCATTTACTGCATCATATGAACGCCAATTATTTAGCGACTATGATGATATCACTGCAAATAAACTGTAAATAATTTACTCTTCAAGAGTATATTTTGCCGATTCTGTTGAAGACCATCAAGTAATTCATATTGAAAATTATTTTTATGTTCTCAATTTGGCGAAAGAGGCTTCTAGACTCTCGGACTAGTTCTCCGTACTGAAAAGAACGGCGAGAAAAGATTAAATTATAATTGTCATGTGATCATCAACAAAACGAGCGTTGAAGTATAACTTCTACCTACTTTATCAATATTTAGGAATAGTAGCTGCGGGTATTGGTAGTATACATAATCGGCAGTTCAATTTTGCTTTAAGGATGCCATTCATATTCGTATTCCTAGGATTGACGGGTGAATTTTACCAAATTTATGGTAACCTAATACAAGCACTCACTTCTTTTGAGAAATCAAAGACACAAATATCAATGCCGCCAATCATTTCGCCCGTTTTTCTTTATAAATCAAACAACTATTCAAATTCAAATGGATTTTCACTCAATAAATTCATAACGTTTCAAAAGTGTAGCTAGAGCTAATGTACTGTCCATGGCTTTAGTATGCTTAAATCCTTTCAATTATTCATTCTCCTGAATTTTTTATTTCTTGAGTTTTTGTATTTTATGACATTTTGCAGACATTTCGCCAAGTCGGAGACTACGCCACTAACATCAAAGGACGCGGAGGAAGATGAGTCAGTGTAATTTTTCGTGTTACATGTATGATCTTGTAGATTAGACATGCGTGATTTTGTAATAATAAAGTCTGAAAATTCGTGTTTCCAATTTCACCATTTTATTATGACTGCTGATGCATATTAAGGTTTAAAATCTGTTCTTTTTTGGTTTAATTTCAGCGCTCAACGCGGTAACGAAATGGATATCGATGAAGCCATTGTAAGCGGCAACGTGGAGGAAGTGAAAAGACTTATTACCAAAAGTTCCGACCCAGACACAATGATCAGAGATAAAAAATTGCTTCACAAAACTGTATCGTTTGGGAAGCGAAAGAATTTCGTAGTGCTGAATATTCTGTTAAAACATGTTTCGCTGGAAACTCTCACACAGAGATACGAAAACGATAAAACAGTTCTTCACATTGCTGTAGAAAAAGGCCACGATCACTTCTGCGAATTAATTCTCAAAAAAAACAAGGCCTTGCTTACTTCTGTAGATAAAGAAGGTGATACACCTCTCCATTACGCTGCTAAATATGGTCAGACGAATGTATGTAAGAAAATACATGCATATTTAACTCCAGAAGTCATCAACCAACAAAATGCAAAGAACTTTACCCCACTACATTTTGCAGCGCGAGAAAAAAGGCATGGTATTATGAAGATCTTATTGGAGAAAGGGGGAGATCCGAGAATGACCACTAAGCAAGGCTATACCCCACTTCATTTTGCCGCTCGTAGCGGATCACTGGACTGCGTCACTCAGCTGCTCGCGACTCAAACCTGTTCCGAAGGCGAAAAGGAATACGTAAACATGCAGACTGAACAACTAAAGACTGCTTTAATGTTCGCTGCGCAGTCCGGCTTCGCAACGATATGCAAGAAACTTTCTGCTACAGATGTTACAATTTCCGACGTTGACGGAAAAACAGCTCTTCATTTTGCGGCAACCAAAGATATCATTCCTGTGGCACAGTTTCTCATTGATGAGCTAGGTGCTGATTGTTTTCAACGAGACGGCAAACAGGAACGGCCTCTGGACATTGCACTGACAAAAAAAAATGACAAGTGTTTCAACTTTTTCCTGCAAAAGATTCCAGATGAAAAATTAGATGACAATGTCATAAAGAACCTTGTGGTATTGGCTGCTGGCAGTTCACTAAAGTGTTTTCGATATATGGCTGAGCGGCAAAGCTTTCATAAATATTTGGAAAGTTTCAAAGATGACAAAAATAATAACTTGTTACATCTCACAATTGCTAACAAGAGCTACGCTACAGCTAAGCAATTGCTGGAAAAAAATGTTTCATTTGATAGGCTTGCGACTAATGAAGATGGAGAGACACCACTACACCTGTTGGCGAAGCAGTCCACAGCCTGTTTGAACTGCCACGAAGAAGATATTCAGTGGGTAACTCGAAATCTGTTGCGGAACTCTCATGATATCGTCAACATGCCTAATAAAAAGGGGGAAACTCCTCTGCACTTGGCAGCTCAGGCTGGGAATCTAGAAATTCTCAAATCGCTTCGTCGCAAAGACCCAGAAGTCCTTAAAGTTACCAAGCAAAACCTAACCGCTCTCCATTATGCAGCCCAACAAGGTCACGCTGATAGTCTTAAATTGCTCCTCCGTTCTCTGAAAACCGCCGATTTTGCGAAGCTACGTGAAATTCAAGTACACCCGTTGCATTTGGCATCAAAAAATGGACACTTAGAGTGCTGTAAACTGCTTACTAGCTCAGGGGTGAGTTTTATAGGCAAATGTACCTAATCAGAAAATTTTGTTCCTCTAATGATTGTGTATAATATGTGCATGTATAGCTTTTTTTTACTTAAATGATTAGTTAGAAGACTCACCTCCAAATCTTTCCTCTTCATAACTCTGTTGGGGACTAATCAAAAAATAGGCTTTCTTTGACCCCAGACGCTTGACAAATGATCGTAAATAAAGGATGAATAAAAATGATAAATAAAGAACTATAATAATAAATGAATGAACGATAAATACAAGATAACCAAAAAATACAAAATTATAAACCGTGTATCTTGCTGGTCCTTGACTTTCAACTCTTACGAATGTTCTAGAATCGGAGCCCCGTTGATAAAAACAAATACAAATTAAGGACTTGAATTTACGCAGCACAAACAAATGAATATAGCAAACACTTACAAATGAATATGGCAAACATAAATAATAAACTAATATAAATTACAATACTCAATATCACCAGAAAGGCCACCACTATATCAACACGGAAGATTAACACACGATAAACAATACAACTACTAACCTCCGTGGCGCGTGGTGGATCACATGACAATGACAAGAGACAGGGCGGGTCTACACGAAGTCACGTAATAGTTGACTCAAAAACAAAATGACAAAACACGTAATTTAACGATCGATGAAATTATTATATTTAAAGGCGGTCCCTAACAACTCAACTATCGAGGGCAGACTCCTGAAGATTCATTTTCATATTTGTATTCATTGTCCAACAGAGTGAAGACGGCACAGATAACACGCTATTTTCCCCCAACCAAGGCGGCAAGTATCCCGTGGACCATGCGTTCAAAGGCAAGCATGCTGAGCTCTTCCATTTCCTGCTCTGCAAAATGAAATTCAATAAGAAGCATGAAGAACTATCCGGGCGTTTGCACCACTACTTTGAAAAATGTGTACAAGCATCAGATAGGTGAGCAAATATAGTTCTGGTGAAAAAATGATTACATTTTTTTTCTTGAGGCTAAAGTTGAAAAACTGCTGGCCTCTACTGCAGGAAAATTTTAGAATGAAGGTGAGGAACAAGAATTCTGAACTTTCGTCCGAGCGCATGTTCGAGGACATCACTGCCCCTCCCCAATCCCCATAATTAGACCGTATTAATTTCCGGGTAAGCTTAGAATAGAATAGAATAGATGTGTCGGCGTTGAAGAAATAGGCCCATGGCCTGTTGCCGATTCTTGAACTTTTCGTGACTTGATTCACAAGGGATCCGTGCTTTGGAACCCGATCTTTCCATAATTGACGATTGATTGAGATAGCTGCTGGACTTATTGCCTGGTCCGTAATTTGCTGGGCATTTTAGACTGAACATATGCTCCTGCATAGCTTCGTCTAGTCTGTTTTTGAAGATTCATACTCGGAGCGTCAACGATGCTATCAGGGAGGCTGTTCCACATGTCGGTGACTCGAAGCGAGAAGAAATTTTGTCGCATGGATGTGTTCCAATGCTGTTTTTTTAGTTTATAGCCGTGGCCCTTGGTGTTGGTTCTTGTTTCAAATTCTAGTAATCAATCTGGGACCTTGTATAAGTCATGAGTATACTTGTACACTTCAATGAGGTCCCCACGCAGACGTCGAGCTTGCTAGAAGCTATGGTAGTTTCTTTTCAAAATTGAGCTGAAAGTTAATCCCTTCATAGTATTAAACGAGCGAGCTTAAAAGCCGCAAGTCATCGAAACAATGGCCAGAATCTATCAGCCCAAAAGCATTATTTATCTAACCCCTTCAGCCCTATCCCTTCACAATATCCACGAGCTACAGCCATACTTACTTCTATACAACAGTCACTCCTCCCCTCAGCTGGTGCTCTGCTCCGACCCCACACAACCTAACCTAAAACCTAACTCGCATAACCTAACCTAACCAATCAGCCAACTCGCATACTTTGCTCTAATTTCACTCTTAATTTTTAACCAATTAAATTGTACTTTTTGTCTTAATTCTTTGCAGTCTTTTCTTACTTTTTTTGTTTAGAATTTCATCATTTATGCTGTAGGTACCTGCGTTTCGGAATCATTTACTAGAAATTATTCGGAACAACAGGGCTAAAGGAAAATGTCCCGAAAAATACTGATGAGACAGGAAAAACTTGGAATAAAGATAAAAGAGAGAAAGGGTAAAGCATATCGGAATAATAATAGAGAACATTCTTAATCGGAATAAAAAAAGGATTTCAGTGCAATGGATTGTTACTGTTTCCTACTCGGACTCTGTGTAGCCTCACTTGTGGAATGCAGTAGAATGAATCCCTCACCAGATCATCTTTTATTATAAATGAAAAAATTCAAACGCGGAAAAACACATGTAAATAATGTAAATATCGTTTCGATTTTCACAAAACTTAATATCGAACCACAAATCACCCTTTCAAAGTGCTATATCGAACCTCCGTGCAACCTTTCAAAGCACTGATGGTTACTGCATTCCTTTCCCTCAAACCGAAGCAAACCCCACGCACCTACAGTCAACCCAATCATACGCTGTAGACTTTTGTCATCTCCAACTCTGTTTTCCGTTTCTCATTTCCCTTTCTGGCCGCTTAGTGCCACCTCATGTTCTTTTTCATGCTTTCTTAGTAGCACCGCATACAAAACTAGAAATTCGCATCCTGACTATCGTGAGTGTGCATTTTTGTGCATGATAGTCTGGAGTCTCTATAGTCTAGGCGTACTACATTAAAGTGTTGACAATGATAACATAAAACGTCAAGCATCAAGAAGTATTGCTTCATTTTCAGGACAAAAGAGGATATGAAGAGAATGTTTTTCTTTCGGAACATTTTCTAAAATACAATAATTAGAAATCTTCGACTTACATTGGAGGTCCATCCGATTTATGCCCACGGATTCTGCGTCACAATTAAAGCTTGCTTCCAACTTCACTATTGAAATGAAAACATCGTTAATCACGTATTTTCGTATGCTCCAAATCCTTTAGAACAAGACTCTTATTGATTGATGAGTGCCAAATTTTATGCACATTCTAGTTCATGCATCGAATGGATTTTTGGACAGCAACTGGCTGGCTCGTGCTCAAATTTCCAGCTAACTTCCACAGGCCAAAATACTTACTCCGAGTGGCGAAAAGCTGGATGGCGGAAGCTGGCCGGCTCCACAGTCCACACTGGACCTGAATACACAGTGAAATCTGATCAGCATTCTCACGTCTCAGATAAAAACCCAGCTCATACTAAAAATCACACTTACATGCATGAGCTGAACAGTTGCAAGTATGATGTACTGCAATGGGCAGGAAATTGTAATTGGCTTGGTGGCTTGCTGCTGAGAGAAATTTGTGCCTGTGGCTTCTATCCAAGAAAATCATAGCTACGTTCATTGCTAATATGCCTTACCACAGAAAGGAATTTTCTTTGATTGTTTAGTTAGACAGCCCGGGTCCAATCAAAAGTTCAATCAAATTTATTGTGTCAAAAAATCACTAACGTAGATTTTGTCCTCCGTACATTTAACTTAAAAAATAAAATTATTGAGTTTGCAAAGTGTCTAGATGAAACTTCTAGAAAATAAATTTTCCTTATCTACAATGTATTATACAGACTGAGAGATTCAGGTAAAATTAGTCAAAAATACGATGATTTTAAACACGAAATATTTGGGATGCAGGGATAGTCACTTAAATCTTAATTTTCCAAACTATATATACTCAGTAAATGGTTCCGCCTTCGCGCTCCCTTAATCATTAAAGTAGCTGAAAGAAATATGGAAACATGGAAACTTGATATCGACTAATCTCACTACGCTTATGCTCTTCACGATGGAAATTCATGCATAATGTTGTGTTTCCTTTCGTTTTCTTTACGTTTTTCTCATCAGACGGCCTAGGCGCGAAGCAGTGTCACCCGAGACCGACTCTTCCTTCAACGCTGCCGTGTTGAGGGCAGTTATCGAGAGCGAGTGGTGTGAAGTTGCCCTGGATGGGAGCTACTGCAGTAACATTCGTCAGCCACACGGCGACGGCAAAAAAGAGACAGAACTGCAAGACAAAATCATGCCCTGCAAGTCCTTTGCGCTGCTTATCAAAAATTACCCTGAACTGGCGTGTCGTGCAATGGATAAGCACATCACCGTCATGCCAAACTCCGACCAAGAAATCCATAATTATACACCGTTTGAGTTTATTTACTATTGCATTGAAGGTTTGTGTAATATACTAATAATGTGCAAATTAATGTGGAATAATTGTATTTAAGGAAAAAATTTACGTCTAACTAGTAAAACAACCTGCGGATGCGCGGTGCATCGCATACACTCTTCCACCATCTTGACAACCCCACATTAAGTCCCACAGTCCCACTATTAAATCTCCTATTGCTCTAATCATGAGTACATTAAGAACGCATTAAGCCTCCTCTTTGCTTTATTTAAAAAAATAGAATTTAGAGATTGGATAAGTGATATAGAACCTCCATTAACAACACATTGCTTTAAAGCAAGAGGCGTGTTTTTGGAGTAGGTTCATTTTTTTTAATTACGCCACCGCAGCGCTGTGGCCGCCACTTGGCGCTTGTGCGTCGTATAGCTACTTCTGTCGGGAAGCCACAGACGCCTTTACGGAACCATCCGATCGAATCTTAATATGTTTACGTGATTTTGAAATGCCTCCACCTATTGATAATCTCGCCGACTGCGAAGTGCGCGCGCTTTTCTTCGCTCAAAGCTTCAAATCGCCAAATCTATGAATTGTTTTACGAGTGACTACTTGAAAACATTACGAGTGATGGAATGGTGCGGGATTGGGTTGGGGCCTCTGATGATGAACGCACAAACTTATGATGAACGAAGTGGGACACTTTCAGTCATTACCGATGAAACGAATAAAAATTGAGCCGTAAAGAACAGACGATTCACGAGCTCGTGACGAAATTGTATAACCATGCAGGTTGTCTAATCAGACAGCAACCTTCTTTAATTATGAAATACAAAATCTGGTTCCAAGACGCGATAAATGCCTCAATTTTAATGGGAATTATGTATAAAAGTAAAGTATGTCGTTTCAAGGGAATATGATATATAAATAATTACTTGTAATTTACGAGTATTTGTGTCAAAACTGTACTTACAGTACAAACATAACCTATATTTTCAAATGTTCCCAAATTTTTGAACGAGGTATCCATGTAGTTTAGGTATTCACCTACAGTTGTGAGAAAACCTCTCAATAATTTTTTAAGAATAAGCCCCAATATTTGCCTTCACTGTGACTCCACTGAGTTGAGACGATTGTAACCCCAGCTAGTAATGGATGACAGAATTTCCAATTTTTTGTGATAGCGTACCACTTGGTGGTCACATGCATTCTCCGCGTGATACAAGTTATCACAGCGTACACAATAATACTGCATTTTATTCGATAGCATATATTTTTAGTTGTTAATGGACTATTAATTATCGCAATATTTCTCTGAGTGGCTAAGATTTTTATTCTCATTCTTTTCAGATGGAAAGAGGGTGTCTCCATTTAAACAAGTAGCACCGAGGCTCGACCAACAACCAAACAACCGTCCTTCCTCAACAAGAACTCGTGGAACCAACACCGCAGTGTACAGAGCTAAAGACAAGAGTGTTACCACTAATATCGGGTCGCCTTCATCCATCACTAACTTGCAAGAAGCTCCAGACGAACTCTCTTCCTCGGTGAAGAGCAACGCTCAAGAATTCAAGGGCATATCTTGGTACAAAGATCATCCTCTTCAAGAAGCTGTTGCTGGCAATCATGTCCAAGTTCTTCACCACAATCTCACCAAGTAAACAATTTCTAGCTTCCAACATTATTTGTTCGTGTATTATCTAATTCTTTATCTAGAATCTTGATATACCGGGAAAAAATTAGTTAAGAATGTATGAAGAATATCTTCGTTAAAAGAACATCTGACGAAGTACTTGATTTAAGCTCTTTTACATCTTATGGGTTGATGTTTGATGGTACGAATAGTAGGAATTTCCTGAAAAAAAATGAAAGTAATCCCGAGGTATTCTTATTTCATTCAAACGAGAAAAATAAATTCGCTATCCTTCTGGACGCAATTTTTTGTACTTTAAATTACTAACCAAATTCGAGTGTACTCCATAATTTATCATTTTCAGGCATCTAATAGATTGACGCTCAACAACGTTTTGTAATTGATTGCGTGTTCTTTCCAAAAAAGTTTCGTGTTTTTTTTTGCGTTTCGTGTTCTCCAAAAGTTCTTATTGCAACCAATCGTTGTGAACTTGCTTTGAACGCGAATATAATATAGGAAACTGTTGAGCTAATATTTACGCATTTACTAGTATTCCTAAAAAAAATTTCCATTCCAGATTTTGGCTGCTGAATAAATTCTCCTATGCTCGGTGGATCTTATATCCATACCTCGCCCTGGACCTGGTCACTGCCGTCTCTGTGTACTTCCTTCAGTTGCTCCTCTGGTATGTAGAAGTAGTAGGGGAGTAGTTAAGCAGTGATAATAATGGTTTTTCAGTTGGAAGACTCGGTATATGGATGTAGTTATACGGTGACAGTAATTACATTTTGGTCGTAAGACTTGGTTGTAGAAGTAATGCACTGATAATAATGGCATTCTGGGAGTGAGACTCGTTAGGGGAGGAAGTAGTATCAGATGTGCTTTTCTGTGCACATCTCATATGAATAGGAATTAATAAGTCCTGAGGGTTGGTCCAGTTGTAGTGTGATCCGACGATATTGAGGAACAGCGTAAACGATCATAGAATATTATTTAGGATTAATGTTCGGCTTACAGTTTAGTATGATATAGAGTTATATGTTGCAGCTTTAACGCTGTTGTCGTCGGCGTCCAGTTAAAGTAAGAATAAGTCTAGAGAATATCTGCGAGGCGTTCTGTAGTCTCACGTTTAGTTAGCAGTACTGTCCAGGGCCTATAATTTCAAAAGAAGTTAAGAGATCGTAAGTTCATCAGTCAATCATTGCCGGCCTTTCAAGCAAAATCCACCAATCATGGATAAGGAAATAGAGCATAAGTACTTACGTTAACTTAGCGAGTTTTGGAAGTATGGCCACTCTTTGACATGGACAGGAGCAATGGGGTATACCGACAGCGGTCCTCGCCCAAGACTGAAGTTAATCGGTCGAGACAGAGCTTATATAGCTTCACTATTTCACGTCACCAAGGGCTTCTTTACTTGATAAATAGGGAAGGCTAAACAAGGATATGTTTATGAACATATCGCAATGAAGATTATCTTTCAACGAGGAAGTTATTAATGAGGAAATGTCCAGTATGGAATGATATTAACATCGTTACCTAGAAGTAGTTGTACGGTGATGACATTCTAGTCTTGTGACTCGGTGGTAGGAGTAGTTATAAGGAAGTAATGACACTCTGGCCGTGGGACTCGGTTGAAAACGTAGGTTTAAGGTGATAATAATGGTTTTCTGGCACGTACTTGGCGTTGTTCAGTATATTAAGTAATATTATTATTGAAGGTTTTCAGGGGTAAAACCTGGTCGTTGATGCTACATCGTTTTTTGGTAATACATCATTTTAACAGAAATAATATTGATTACATTAGTGAATTTGCATACATTATGATAGAACCTTCGGTTAATTTAATTTAGTTTGTCAATGTGCTGTAAATCCTCTCAAATTCTATCATAATTCGCTAAAATTCATTGAAAACGAATACAGCTTTGCAGAAGCAGTTTAAGGGGGCATTTTGGTCGCAAATCGAAAATTTTGTCTTTTTCAATTTTTTTGGCTCATTTTGTAGCTGCGGAAAAGGCGCGTCTAACGCAGCAAACCACATGGAATTTCAGCATGCTCTAGTATTTGCGTGAGGCAGATTCGAATTTTTATAAAATGAACATATCATAACCATTGTTTATAAAGATTTATTAATTAAATCTGTATATATAGGTCATTATTCGAGTTAATTGCAATATATGCCGCACTTGATTGGAAGCTGCAAACAAGACGCTTTCAAAAAAGCCACAACCATGGATGTATATGCAATACTTTTTGCGTAAGGTCGTTTTGAAATATTCTAAATGACCATTTTATATAAATAAATATTTCAGATAAATCATATTTATAGCTTATTATTCGCATTAAACTAGACAATAATAAGTATAACGACGCTTGATGGTACCCTCAATACAAGTAATTGCGAATGGAAAAGCTAGGACCACAGTACCAAATAATTATTTCATCATTTTCTTCTTGTTTCAATAAATTTTACTTATTCTACTCCCCTGAACAATTAGAATTTACAAAATACGCCATCTTAAAAATCTATCTCCTTCTGTGATTTTCAAGCTAGAGCATTGAGACATTGAGACATATGCCATTCGATTCGTAAGAAGAATCTCTAAAGTTCATCCGGTTCATTTTTTTATTTCTTTTTTGTTTGATTATATATTGAAAAAAGAGTGGGGGAGGGGTCAAAATTGGGGAAAAACTGAAAAACTAAAGGAAAATTCGAAAAAATGAACGGATTATCTTTAGATATGGTCTTTACGTATCGAATGATATGTCTCTCCATTGTGTAGCTTGAAAGAAAGTCCTAGGAGGTGATATATTTATACAGTACCTTCTTTTTCAGCCGTTTCATATTTCACGTTTTTTATATTTTTGCGAAAAATTTGCACGAACAAAAAAGTCATTGATTTCTATTATGCACGTGTGTACCAAGTTTCATGATGATCCGCCCGTATATAAAAAAGCTTTTTTTTTTGACCGAAATGCTCCCCTTAAGAAGGGCTTCTGAAAAGGAAAAACGGGTTGTTGAAATAAGATATTAATTATTATGAATAAAAGTAAATTTGACTAATCCTCATGCACAAATTCTGAATCATGAAATGGACAATGGATTTCAGAAATCGCAATCATATGCAGGCAATCTTTAACGTAGTATATATAGCATCTGTTGAAAGATTCATCCTAATGGTTGTTGATATATATACAGAGCTGGGCAGCGCTACTTTGAAATGTAGCGGCGCTACCGCTACCGCTACATGCTCTAAATGTAGCGGGCGCTACCGCTACCGCTACACCCACTAGATTGTAGCAAGCGCTACCACTACCGCTACAGTAAAATGTAGCGCCGCTAAATTAGCCGCTACAATGGCCAAAATTATTGGAAATATCTAAATATTTACTGTTCTGCTATTGGGATTTACTCATAAACATTTAATGATAATAAAACATTTTCAAAACATATCAATGCAACTTTATTGCAATTAACCTAACGGAACTAGTACGGGTTAGATACAGTAAATAAAAGTTACAGTTATAAAGTTGCTGTTGGTCAATCAGCAAAGACTTAATGACCTTGTCACAGATATGTCTCTTACCAAAGATAATGCCGAACTTTTAGGCTCTAGGTTAAAAGAATGGGGGTTCCTCGAACCAGGCACCAAAACTGCAGATTTCTTTCGCAAATCAAGAGGGAAGAAACTCACCGTCGAAAATCAAGAGGGAAAAGGCATTTCAGAAAGAATTACCACAGCAAATAGGTAAGACTTTTTTAAACTGTCTTGATTACCATTTTCTTATGTTTTAATAACAGAAATACGATGTTTGAAATGTATAATCCAATATTATTTAATCATGTTCAGTTTACCAAATGTTGCATTTTTAGGAATTTGATCAAAATGATTTTTTGAATATCTCGAAAACTATACGTGCTAGAGTACCTCTGTTAGTAGGTTTGAAATCAGCGACCTCGATTCCTTTAGAGAAAGGTATTTTGGTTAGAGTTTTGAATTTTTTTGTTGCACAGTATAATCTACGACAGTTCTAATGGCCTAATAAACACTGACAATGATATACCATACTATTTTCACATTATATTCAATTATGACTTTATAAATTTTTTCATCACCTCATAACGACAAAATTTATTCCAAAGACGTATCGAAAAATTAATTCCCATAGGTGATAAATATATAACTAATTGTTAGGAAACTATACTACTCACTTCTTTCGAGAAATGAAAGACACAAATACTAATGCCGCCAATCATTTCGCACGTTTTTCTTAATAAATCAAACAACAATTCAAATTCAAATGAATTTTCACTCAATAAATTCATAACATTTCAAAAATTTAGCTAGAGCTAATGTACTTTCCACGGCTTTAGTGTGCTTTAATCCTTTCAACTATTCATTCTCCTGAATTTTTTATTTCAAGAGTTCTTATATTTTATCACATTTTGCAGACATTTCGCCATGCCGGAGACAACGCCACTAACATCAAATGACGCGGAGGAAGATGAGTCAGTATAATTTCTCATGTTATATCTATTATCTTGCGTATCTATGCGTGATTTTGGATAAAGCCTGAAAATTCGCGTGGATAAAATTCCACCATTTTATTGTGACTGCTGATGCATATTAAGGTTTAAAATGTGTTCTTTTTTGGTTTAATTTCAGCGCTCAACGCGGTAACGAAATGGATATCGATGAAGCCATTGTAAGCGGCAACGTGGAGGAAGTGAAAAGACAAGACTGCTAAAGATTGTAGACTGCTATAGATTGAAGACTGCTAAAAATTGAAGACTGCTAAAGATTGTAGACTGCTATGGATTGAAGACTGTTTATATCAATAAGTCGTGACGTGAGTGGCCTTATCTTATCATAGCCGGACCCTGCAATGGACATAAGAAGCAAAGCCGGCCGTTATATAACGCCCAATTCTGAGCTCCAGCTCTTGAACTCTTCTCTGCAGCCTGTGAGGTGAGATAGCGACGTCCGTATATCGCAGGAAACTTGTATAGTAAATCAAACAAGTTTCCCGCAGTATAATCACATTAGCTTCCATGTTGCATGATCATCATGTGTTCACATATGTATTATTTCAATAAGTTTTGTTTAGCGTGTTTTCATTAGATCCCGCGTAGCATAATTATAGTGTGCCTTTGCGGTATTATAGTGTGCCTTTGCGGTGTGCCTTTGCATAATTATAGTGTGCCTTTGCGGTGTGCCTTTGCATAATTATAGTGTGCCTTTGCGGTGTGCCTTTGCATAATTATAGTGTGCCTTTGCATAATTATAGTGTGCCTTTGCGGTATAGTGTGCCTTTGCGGTATGCAATACGTAGGTTCCGTGCATCACAATTTCTAAATTTTTGCTATATTATTACAATTATTGTGTCCTTACATCATAACTATAGGAGGATTTAACGGTAGTTTATGCGTTATTGAGTATAATTACAGTAGGTTCTGCCAAACATGCATAACAGACTCCGCATATACACGAAGGGTTGTGAGCGGCTTAAGGATTACAATTGAGGCCGCTACTTTATCCGCCAAGACATTCTATCTAGTTTAATTATTTCCTGGTGAATGAAATTATGATTTAGTAATAACAAGAACGATTTGTTCGCTAAGCCTATCACAGTAATTTAAACTTCCTGACTGCATGAGAATTTTTTGTTGCGTTAAGCTTGCAGTATTACAACTTTCTATATTTCTAATCGGAATTTCAAGTGGGTTGAATTCTGCATCGTTCAGAATTTCGACAAAAAGGTCTAGTGAAATATTTTTTACCAATTCCAAAAAGAATCAGTGTTTCAGAGATGACATTTTGTAAGAGAACGATATGCGAAAGTTCCATTTTTGCGCAGGTTCAAAAAAGTCGCAGAAATTAGAAACGGGCTTACGCAGAATCGAAATAGGCGAAAATCTCCAAGTATGGGCGACATCATGGAGTACTCATATTAAAATACTTCTCTATCTCCCAGCATCAATACAAACGTACATCGTTTTCCGCAAGAACTGTAAGAAGGAAAAATTCTCATAGGAAAGTATATTCAAATGAAGTTACTTGCTCAGGCAGTGTCAAAGAAGTTTCTTTTATTTTCATTGAATATGTTCCGGTTATCAGGTTCATAATCATTTCAAAATGTTATAATAATCAAATTAATAATCAAATGGAACACTAAATTTCCTATGAAAAGATCAATCAATAAAAGTAGAAGGATGATTGTCAAAAAAAAATTCTGAATGTTAATCAAGATGTTCAACTTTTTCTACCTAACTAGTCCTACGATCGTTTGGGTTTCATTCGCTACTGTAAATAGATACTGTATTTATTCGCTGCTGTATAACCCATTTCATTATACTTCTATTACTGAATTTTGAACTGATGATCGGGTTAGGCTCCGAAACATCTCAATTTAAATACAGCGAATTCTTCTGGCATATTCTATGCTCCCAATTCTTGGTTAATCGGTGATTTTAGTTATAAATAAGCCTCAATTATTGTACTCGTACCCGTAGGCATCAGTACCTGAGATTATCATAAAGCATCAATATCATTGAGTATTGGGTGATGATAGTATCGTTGAATCTCAGCATCAAGAATTATTAACTGGACAGTCGCGCATTGATATTACGTGCATCAGTAATAAATTAAATAATTATTATCGCAAAATGTCAACACCAGAAATTATCATACTTACAGAGTGTCCGCATCATTGTTACTAATAATCATCCTTATTAAGTGCCATTATCATCACTGGAGGTATCGTGCTCATAAAGTGCCAAAATTTTTATCAGAAGGTATCAGCCATTATCTGGATGAATAATAAGAAGTAAAATTTCATTAAATAGTGGAGATTATTTCCAGAGTATCAAATATATCAAATTGTAAGACTAAACTAACATAAACGCTTCCTAGAAGGAACTCACAATAAAATAGGTGAAATAAACTTAACCAGTAATTCAAAGCATACTAATAGCAATTTACAATTCATTCCATCTATTCCTAGTGTGCGGATCCAACCATGTGAATCGCGTTTAATTTGTAATAGTGACCAGGCTTCACCCTAGATCGTTGGAATGAGGCAACGTAACTGCTTAGGTCTGAAAAATTGATTCAATTTGCTGAAAGATCAAAAACAGATTGATCATGCATGACCTCAGCCGAGAGAGAAATTCAGTCGCTTGTGTAAAATGGGCGGTATATAACCCACAACGTCAACATAAGTTTGATGCACTATCAAAGAGAGGAGGCTGTTCGGTGGTTGAGCACACGTTGCGCCACCCTATAGTGTTAAGTCAACCTACCAGACATCAGTTTAATCTGCAAGCCTTTCTCCATATTTCATCCATTGAATCATGCACTTGCACGGATCGTTAGTAAGTGCCTCTTCAACCGGCATCATAATTCTTCAGTGGGAAGGCAATGCCATTATTCGCACATCACGTTGGTAGGCGACGAAACAGACGCTACTTCTATCTCTGATAGATAACAAGACTTATCTCAAGATTGGGTGGAAGTCATAAGCTTGAGCGCACCTTACGACAAGTGGAAGTATATAATGCATCAGAGTAATTATTTTGTCATGACCCTTGCTCACAGATAATTGCTTACAATAAATGTTTGGAAAACAATATAAGGTAAATATAAATTTAAGCCAATTTTAGTGAATTTTCTGTCAAAAAAATTATGGGCTTATGTTTGGAATAATAATTTAGCCAGTAATCATAACATTTAAAAAAATCAAGACAGAAATATGATTGGTCATACTTCAAACTTTTTTTCATGCTCGATGCTCAATCGATCAACAGACAATAAAATCAATTAAAATTATTAATTAACTAACTAATTCGGTCGAATTGAATTAAATCATTTCAGGAACTTTGTTTCACAAATGAATTAATTCAAATACATGAAATTGTGGGGAATTTTATATCTTGTTGGAAATTATTTCCAATAGGACATGATATTTGTCATGATTTGAATGCAACATAAAAGTGAATATATCGCTCTCACTAAAGTTTTATCGCTATCTCATCTTATTGCTTTATCACTATGATATGTATTATTATTAGACTAACGGTTAAACCTCTCAATTCTAACCCGAACATTTGAAGTTGAACATTTGCCAGTGATACCAAGAGTTATGTTGATAAAGATCTTATGCACTTATTTTTTCCGAAATTGAATTGTTTATTAATCAAAGATATGGTAAACATAATTAAATGTTATTGACATATTGCGTCAGCATTATTGCGTCATTATTAATGATCGAATCCGAATCTTAGAATTAATGCGAAGAAAAGATTCTAACTAATTTAATAGTGGGATAAAATTACGAATTTCCGAGAATCAGGATGCAAGTCTATTTATTTAACTAGTTCGGCAGGAGCGGCTCACTTTCTGTGTGCCTACAGCCAGCGAAGCGGACGCTAAACTTATACTCTCCACTTTTGATTCGGCAGGAGCGGCTCACTTTCTGTGTGCCTACAGCCAGCGATCCTCAGTGGGACTCGAACTCTGGTACGTAGTAGTATAGGGGAGTAGTTAAGCAGTGATAATAATGGTTGTCTAGTTGGAAGACTCTGTTCATGTATGTAGTTATATACGGTGACAGTAATAACATTTTGATCATAAGACTAGGTTGTGGAAGTTGTTACATGGTTATGACATTCTAGTCGTGTGAGTCGGTGGTAGGAGTAGTTATATGGTGGTAATGACATTCTGGCCGTGCAACTCGGTTGTGGAGGTAAGGTATACGGTGAAAATAATGATTTTCTGGCAAGTATCATGGCGTTGTTCAATATATTATGTAATATTCTTTTAGGTTTTCACGGGTAATACCTGGTCGTTGATGTTTCCCTTTTTTTGTGTAATAAATCATTTTAACAGAAATGATATTGATTATATCAATGAATTTGCATACTTCATGATCAAACTCTTGGTTAATTCAGTTTAGTTCGTCAATGAAGTGTAAACCCCCTCAAATTATATCATAATTCGCAAAAATTCATTTAAAAATAATATAGCTCCGCTGCAAATGAAGCTTAAAAATGTCTTTTGCAAAGGAACAAGAGGTTGTTGCAATAAGGAACTAATTATTATGAATTAAAATAAATTTGATTAAAAGATACCCCATGCACAAATTCTCGTTCATAAAATTGACAATATATTTCAGGAATCGCAATTAAATGCAGGCAATCTTTAGCATAGTATAGCATCTGTTGAAAGATTCATCCTAACGGTTGTTGATATACGAGTATATATATTTATACCAACCAACCAATATTTCGCCGATGTCATCACATTTCCTTGAAAATTTTGAATACACTACAGACCACATATATATAAAATCTGTTTAATAATTTCACGCTAACGTTGATGAACTTTCTGAGAATTAAGAGTCGAATTATAATTTAATCCAGATATTCTGCATGAATTTGCTTTAATTGTATACCACGCCTAGCTGGCTTTAACTATTTCAGCAAAATTAATTATTTTTCCAGGAACACACATGATATCGAAGACGTTTTCAGCGGGGCTACGTGGGCCCAGGTGACTGAGGTCTACCCAAGTCTCTGGTCTGAAAACAGCGACGTGCAGCCTGTCATGGAAGACGTGCGAGCCATTGCCGAAAAAGACCCTCACTGCTCTTCCTGGGGGTCTAGTAAGTCCCAAGCAATACTATAAAAATGAGTAATAGTAAGTCCTATTGCCCCTTATAGGCATGGAGAGTGCATGCAATTGATCTCCTGTTTTATGCAGTGCATGCAATTGATATCCTGCATGCAAATTATCCTGTTCCTGATTACCCACCGCTGAGTTCGCTTTATCTGTCTGCGGGTTTCGGTTGCTGGGTCAATTTGGTGTGTAGGTAGGATTCCTTGCATTTTTCTGTCTCTCTCGTTCTTGCATTTCTCTGTCTCTTCGTCTCTTCGAGATGACTACGCTGCTTCACTTGAGACCTTCGGCTCATTGTGGGTGACAAACGATTTTTTATTTGTGAAACTTTCGATAACTGAGCCCTCCACCTCATTGGTGATGTTCACCTTGACTTCCAGTGCGAGATAGCTAAATAACTTAAGCGCTAGTAAACTTGTATCCATTAAACCAACTACCGCTTTTAGCAGACGTCGCTGCTTTGAGAAATTACGCTTCCTGAATTCCACTTTCGCTCAGGGAAGTTTCGGTCGAAGTGTTTGCAAGACACTTCGTCTTAAATCTGAGTCGCAAATATAGGCATCGTGTATGATTTTAAAACAGAGATCTAATACTTTTACGCTTCACTCGTGCATTTACTTCACAGCTTCATTCTTATTTGACTTGATAGCTTTGATGTTTATAGCTAAATTTCTGTTACGATGTTTTATTATGTTGCAGACAACTCATCTTCCGAAGACATCCTCATGGAGGTCGGGACGTCGTCTTGGAACCGTTCAGTTTGCGCCATTTTCCACATGGAAAAAAAGTCCTCCGTAGTCGTAGGCATGAAAGTATGGATGGTCATCCTTTTTCTAGTTCATCTCTTCATAGAATTATTCTACCTCAGAAAAGTAAGTTGGATTGTATAAAAAATGGTTTACTTTTTCCCAAAAAATGATTTACTTCTTTATTTTGCTTTGAAAAAATTCCAAAGATTCATTATGGAAAATCACATATTCTATTATTTACGTGATACAATAAAATTCAATGTGTAAGTTGCTCGTCTTTTTATTATTATTATTAATACAGTTCATGCAGAAATAATTAATTTAATGGATTGATAATGAATTTAGTGCGAAATTATGTATATTTGATAAATAATTTCATTCATTTTTCCTCATAAATAATTTAAATTTTTCTATACCTACCCTATTTAATTAATATGCCTAATCCACACAATTATTTTATTTTAATTTCATATTTGACTCTCTAAACTGTACATGTAAGCGCTGGTGTTTCCAAAGTCATGAAAGATATGAGAGTCTCAGATCACTGGCATTCACTAGCTAGATTACAATGTATATCACATAACACGAAGTACCTATACGCGATTTGAATTTAAATGTACTTTTATTGCTCAGAATGTAGCAACAATTGAACGGTCCTTGAAAAATTAAATTACAAACTTTGATGCGAACCTGCTAATGACAGTAAGTAATTGATGACAGTAATGACCCCAACAGTCATATTAATCTCGTTTATTAGTAAAAACATTGCGAGTTTGTTCACACACAGACGTCTCAGCCTGTCACTGACGTTCATCGAGTGAGCCGATATCTGCGGCTCTTTCTGATGCTGGTGCTCGTGCTTTGGTTCAGCAAAGCTGATTTCTGGCTGGGCTGCAGGCAGGTGAGATCTTGGGGGTGTTCCAGGTCACAATGTAATCTATTCGGTATAATTAAGTAATTGCGCGGAGATCACGATGTGAAGCTACGAAGGGTAAACTCCTTGCATACTAGGTTATGATTGAATGCTGCTCTGGTCGAAGATTCAGCTTACTTATCGTGTGTCAAAAATCTGAGGTGTAATTCTAGAGATGAGGAAAGTCCACTAATATCCAATTGGGATTGTGAAGCCTGTTCCAGAGGCCGAGGAACGAATTAGACCGTCAATGCTACGAAAGTTGGCCTTAGAATCGGTATTCCAAAGGCTAAATCGGTATTCCAAAGGCTGACACTACCCAGAAATACCAGTGTATCTAAATTCACCCTGACAAGATATGGATCCCTATCGAAATCTTCGCTCTTTCATGACGAAACCTTATGCTAATTTACTCTTTAACGTGTAAATATGAGCCATGAATGCAGGTTCTTCAATCTGTCAAGGATGGCTACGGTTTACCAATTAGCCAGAATTGTGTTGACCGAAATATGTTAATGAGTTCAATTATTTTTATGGCTCTTTCCATTGCTCAATGTTGAACTGCGTATTCAGATTCTGTACGAGCTCTTCTAAGGTTGAAATGTTATGTATCCTGCTTACATCATTTCACTATATATGAAGAACGTGTTAAAATTTCATGTGTAAAAATCATAAGAACAAACAATAAAATATGTTTGAAAATTTGTATGATATAACACCCTATAGCCCTGGTTTAAAATGAATGAAGACGGCTATTTATTTAAGTATTCATATCAACAATCTATATAGGTACTATATATTCAATATCTCTTCTGTCTTTTTCAGGACTTTATCTGGCAAATGGGAGTGCTGGCTGTATTACAGTCGTCAATTCACGTGGTTTTAACTCTGAACAAAGTGCCTCGATTTTCCGGCTTTATGCCCGTTGATGCAATGCATTTGTTTCGATTCTCATTAGCACTTGTACCTCTTATTCTTTTCTTGCTCTCCTTTACCGTGGCCTTCCATCTGCTTTTGACCAAAAACGCATCGTTCAGTTCCGTTCCTGTTTCGTTTGTCAAAACGATCACTTGGATGTTGGGAGACCTTGGTTACGACGACACCTTCCAGGACGACCAATCCCCGGTGAACTTCCCAATCATGACTCATATTCTCTTCCTAGTGTTTATTTTATGTATTGGTGGTCTCCTCTTCAATTTTGTGCTCGCCAGCCCAACAGAAAAGTTATTGGAGCTCAGAAATGAAGATGACTTCAATAGGGCTGTTGCACATTTGCACATTCATTTACTCATTGACGAGTGCGTGCCGCACATGCGTAAACGTAACGCTCAATCCCATGTGAAACACAGTGGAAGCCCACGCCCTCATCTCTATGTCAGTTCTCAAACAAATAAAAACACCTAAACTAAGAATCAGGTTGATTACCCCCTGAAAAGGAGATATCATTCATTGAGGAAATGCTAAGTCAAGTCTCCACAACTATGTTCATTCCATACCATACATTTCATTACCTTTCTCCTATAATTGCAAAAATCCGAGGCCATTTGCCCCCTCATGCAACGGGTAATTTTCAATATTTTCATGGCTACCAACAGTATATTTAACTTCATTGAAATCACCTTTGGCTTTGAACTAACAAACGAGTTGCCTTTTGCCTAACGGATTAAAGGCCACAGAGAAAGCCGCAGACTTCTCGAATCGCTTCATATAAACAATTTGAAACAAATAGGAAGCAATTCTCTGATTTTCATTACATTCGATTTGATTAGTTAGTTGGACTAATTAACAATTATTTTAAAAAATGTTTGTATATAAAAAAAAATTACATTGCTGGAAATATTTTACGGTCAATCATGAATCTTGGCTATAAGACAGGAAGAGCATGTTATTATTGTGATCAAAAATTAGTGTAATACATAGTTACAAGATTTTTAAATTTACTATTATAATGTTATTATCTGTTTTATTTGTGATTTTTCTGTGGTGTACTGCAATACCTGCTGTACGTGAAATGTTAACGTCACAACAACAAATTCGGTTGGTTTGTGGGTTTACGTTTCTACAGAACACGTGAAATCATTTTAGTGTTGATTATTCAATTTTTATAGGTGATTAGATAATAAAACACTATTATGACATATTTGTTAACATGATTGTTGATTGGTTTATAAGCTGATATGACTAATAGTAATTTTATTACTAATTTTGTGGGAACAATTTTAAAAATTTTAACTAAATCACTTCGTTTCTGGTGACTGCGCTACTTATATTTTAAATGATTCAAATTTTACTAATTATGATGTGTTATGTTGCTTCTGTGTGTTGATCGTGAGACGGTGAGCGGCTATTAGGAAAAAACGTAAATTCTTATTTTATTAAGCATTCATGTCTGTACATTTAGTTTTTCTTCGTTTCGAATTCGTTTAATATGTTGATTCAGTATATTTAATCAGTGTTAATTTCATTTGTACTCGTGAAGTTAAATCATAATACGCCCTCTAACTATATATTTCAAAACCGTCAACTAAGTAATAAATTCGATTTCTTGAGGACATCGATTTACTTATATAAGTATGACGAAAATATTGTTCGGAAAGAGCCTGATAAAAAAATTTTATAGCGTTCTTACTTTGATTTAGACTTTAACTTCTAATATATTACTTCGGCATACTTAATTGTTCCATTCTAATCAATTTCATGACACCAGAAGTATGAATTTTGGCAGTATAAGAGTCGCAATTAGCTACTTTAAGCGCATTTATAGCTACTTAATTTAAGCGCATTAAGCGTGGTATTAGAGTTCTCTATCATGTGGTTAATTTTCGTTCTGCGTTGAAGTTTTGCGCGTTTGAGTGCAAAAATAAAGCTGCTAATTAATAGGGGCGATACGAGGCATAACCTACCGTGTCCTGATATTACCCGAGCCTTATATAGTTTCCATTCGCACTGTTTCTTTTAAACAAATAACTGTAGCAATTTGCATAATTTTGGATATCTAAGTCTCCTTCTAAACATAAAATTTTCATATTCTTTGATACAAGACTTTGTATTTTAATAAATTTTCTATTGATTTATTGTTTAATTTATATATAGTTACATGACTTAAGAAGTGAAATTTTCAAAGAAAAAATAGTCGCAATGAGATTTCTCAGCAATGAGACCTAACAATGGAACTTTACTGGCGTCGCATTAGAGCCTCTTTTGATTACTGCAAAATAGCAGGCAAAAAAGTCACTCAACTTGATTGCGGTCATTTTTTTTATTCTCAGTTCCGAGTGCAAAATATTCGGACTGCACTGAATTTGACTGAAAATTAATTTTTCGCCATTGGATTGCCTTGTGCAATTGAAAAAAAAAAAATTCGGCTGAAGCCAGATCTCATAGGATGGATACAAAACCTTCTCACTACCAAGGAAAATATTTTATAGTGATAAAATTAATCATTCCAGAATTCATTCATGAAAGACTCAATGTTCAACTTGGATCAATGTTCTCAACTTGGATCAGTTAGATTTAATAAACGTCTTCTTATTTGATTGAAAAAGAGCGAAGACTGCTGAAAGATTTAAGACCGCTAAATATTGGAGACTGCTAAAGATTGAAGACTGCTAAAGATTAAAGGCCGCTAAAGATTGAAGACTGCTAAAGATTGATTATATCTATAGATTGAAGACTGCTAAAAATTAAAGACTGCTAAAGATTGTAGACTGCTATAGATTGAAGACTGCTAAAAATTGAAGACTGCTAAAGATTGAGTCAAGCAAGTGGCACGCCGCAAAAGAATAACGAGCACACTCAGTAGAAAGACGTGTCAATAATAAAATCGCCGCGTCAGCAAAAACGAGACGAGAGAATGGGAGCAACGCACGTGCAAGGCAACAGAGCAAACAACAAGCAATCGAGGAGCTCTTAGGCACCACACGACCTGCTCTCGTGGATGCTCAGTTAACACTCATAGATAAATAGATACTGTTTTTATTCGCTGCTGTATAACCCATTTCATTATACTTCTATTACTGAATTTTGAACTGATGATGGGATTAGGCTCCGAAACATTTCAATGTAAATACAGCAAATTCTTCTGGCATATTCTTTGGTCCCAATTCTTGGTTAATTGGAGATTTTAGCTATAGATAAGCCTCAATTATTGTACTCGTACCCGTAGGCATCAGTACCTGAGATTATCATAAAGCATCAATATCATTGAGTATTGGGTGATGATAGTATCGTAGAATCTCAGCATCAATAATTATTAACTGGACAGTTACGCATTGATAGTAAGTGCATCAAGAATATATTTAATAATTAGTATTGCAAAATGTCAACATCAGAAATTATCATGCTCACAGTGTCAGTTTCATTGCTACAATAATCATCCTCATTGAGCCACTATCTTCGACTGACGGTATCTTGCTCATAAAGTGCCAGAATCATTATCAAAAGGTATTAGTCAGTATCTGGATGGATAATAAATAAATTTTTGTAATATTGGAGATTAACTCCAGAGTATCAAAGAATCAAATTGAAAGAATAAACTAACAAAAAGGATACTTTAATGAACTCTCAATAAAATAGATCATAAAAACTAAACCAGTGATTCGAAGAATTCTTAATAGCAATATATACAATTCATTCTATCTATTCCTAGTGTGCGGATCCGACCCTCTAAATCGAGTTTTATTTAAATAGTGACCTGGCTTCACCCGCGATCGCTGGAAGGAGTGCAGCGTAACCGTTTAGGTCTGAAAATTTATTTTATTTGCTGCAAGATCATAAACAGATTGATCATGCAAGGCCGCAGCCGAGAAATTGAGAAACTTGTGCAAAATGGGCTGCACAAAACCTACTACTCCAACATAAGTTCGTATCAAAGAGAGGAGGCTGTTCGGTGGTTGAGCACACGTTTCGCCAACCTAGTGTTAAGTCAACCTACCAGACATCAGTTTATTTTGCAAGCCTTTCTCCATCTTTCATCCGTTGAATCGTGCACGTGCACGGATCGTTAATAAGTGCCTCTTCAACCGGTACTATAATTTTTTTAGTAGGAAGGAAATGCCATTATTCACACATCACAGGCGACAAAACAGACACTACTTCTATCTCCGATAGATAACAAGTCTTATCTCAAGATTGGTTGGAAGTCATACGCTTGAGCGCCCCTCACGACCCGTGGAAGCAATGCATTATAGTCATTTTTAGCGCATTTTCTCATTTATGGAAAAAAGCCTTATTGTGCTCGTCATGTCTGTCCGTCTGTCCGTCCGTCAGTCCGTCTGTCCATGACTTCACGTTTTCGTCGACGAGAAAATGCGTTCTCTGTCACTCACTGCAGTGAGTACTGAGTTATATTTGTTTCATACGTATGTAAATAGTAATTATAAAATTCATTACAATGAAGTTTAAAATTTACAATGACTTCCTAGAGGAAAGCACCAGATATACGTTCATATTTGCATTTATTTTTATACGATGTCATAGTTTGCTGTCGGATTCACGATATCTTTCAAAATTATCCATCTAAGAATTTACCATTCTTGTATTTACTGCATGAATATCGTTATTTATTTATATAATTTTGCTTACTCACTACACTAGAAGTTTTTCACATTTTATAAGTTTCTTTTGTTAAATCCTAGCGCAGTTTCTACATTGTTAGGTAATGTCCATTGGGTTCCGAGAATGGGTTCTTGGGTAATGTTGGGGTTCCGAGAATAAAAAAAAATGTACGATTGGAAATCTTCATAATACATTAGACTAACATAATAAAGATGCTTTCGTATCCTATTGTCAAACAGAAGATGAATACACGGCAAGCGGTTATAATATGGCAGCTGCTGCAGCTAGCGCTGCTGACATCAGCTGCAGTACAGATGCAGGACGGAAGGTACAGCGGTCTGCAGGTGGCGGTAGCATCTAAAACGATAGAGCCTCTCGACGGCCTGAAGTTCATTGCAGATGTGCAGGTGAATTTAGCATTAAATCCCATAATATTCTATAAAATTTATTTGAATATTATTGATAAAGTTTATTTGAATATTTGAGCAATATTTTTTTTAGGTATTTCATTCAGGACATGCAAAATGTTTTCAGCTCGAAATTCCTGACTCATTAAAATTACACCGATGAAATCATGATTTTCCTCAGCATTATTGATCTCTCTCTCTGAATCCCGTTAAATTAGACCCGTACTAATCTCATATATCAACCGACAAACAATTATTGCATGGTTCACATCCAAAACACAATTGAAAACCCCCATCACGGTCGAAGATTCGTTGTCAATCGTTCGAAAACAATTTTATAAAGCATTTGCGACAATGATTGATAATGCACAGCCTATTTAAAATACTATAATTATAATGCATACAACCATTATTATAACAGAACTTCATACATGCTGGTTCCGAGTTGCTGAACTATGCGATGGACAAGAGGGTTTCAATCAACGACTTCACACTCATGATTCCGAGAACCTGGAACGCATCCAAGTGAGTACAGTTCAAAGCTTGCTAACAAAATATTTCAAGATTTCAGTCAGATGAACCTTGCGTTTTTTCTTAGCCTGCCCAAATCTTATGAATTTCATAACATACTGGAAAGTTCCATTTTTTCAATGTCAAGGTCGGAATTGGAAAAAATGAATAAGCTTATAATTTTTCGAAATCATGTTCATCGCCTGGATAACGATGCATGCATGGGTGCTATCAATTCCAACATGTTTCTGTGTTTAAATTGAATTATTCCACTAATTCATCGATTTATAGGGCACTGAATGAGTTTTTGATCACGTGTGCAAAACAAATGATTCTATCTCATCATTAGCTAACAATAGTAAGCCCACACCAGCTTACTATGCAACACGATCTGAAGCTGAGTTTAGGTATTGTCAGACTTTTTCATTTTCATACGTGCACCGTGTGTCAATCACAGTTTTCAGCGGCTCAATGAAGATTCTGTTTTGAGATTTTTAATATAAATGTAGTGAGAAACACCGGTCCTGGAAATTTCTTTAATGGTTTTTGAAGGATAATCTTCGTTTCGTATGCTATAATCTTCGTTGCTATGCTTTGCAACTTTAGGATTGGACGCGGTCAGTATAGGCTAATCCTCAAAAATTAAAGTATATAATCCACGGTATGAAGTATACTCACCCGAAATCCATTACACATAACATTCGATTACATTTCAGTGGATTACGGCAGATGTAAATCTTATTTAATGTCGATTTGTCATTTTTTTTTAATTTATGCAGTTTCTTTGGTATTAAAATAAATTAAGGATTATTGTTTAATTAGAGCAAATTGCTGGCTTCACTCGAAGTAAATAAAGAAGCAAAGCTAGTAACTCGACATGAGTTAATCACGTTCTATCTAGAATAAATTAATTACACTGTTTAGTAACTTAATTAACAGTCTAACAGATGACTTCGATGTTATCTATGCTGATCCTGCACTTCTTGCATATGATCCCTAAATAACGCGAAAACATGTATTGTCTAAAGTAAATCACCAGCAAATTCAATTGCTTGAATTTGAAAAGTGTGAAAATGAACCATGAAATTCATATCGATGCTAAGGAAAAAGTGGTCATTCATAGCGATCTTGATGAAAATAGTGATCTTATTGCATTCGAAATTCGTATTAAATTACTTCGTAATTTATTTGCCTCCATTAAGTTCAGAATCTATTGAAAAGTCTTCTTAGGAATTTTGACCTTCATTCAGGAGATTTCTTTTCGTAAAAAGGTAGCCAAAATTTCCTGTCAGTGTGTAACAATCTGTTGAGTAACATTCATTACCTTGATTTGTAATATGTATTTTACATTATTTTCTGCTTGCATATTATATACGCATAATCCCTGCAATTTGTGACGGGCCGAGACTCGGTGACTGATCAAGGTCCGAGACTCGTATTGTTCAAATGAAATCTGCTCTAAGAAATTTAATTGATATTTCCTGCTGATAAAACTTATACAGCGAAAAGTAAAACGAATCTACATTGATGCACGTTTGTTTGGAATTTATTTATGTTTCGGTGAACAGTTTCGGGAGCGTGGTCAGAGCATCGGACGACACGACCATTAAGACGGCTGACATCCTCCTGCACGACGCAGCCGACGAGTTGCCTGAAACTCTTCAGGTGCCATTCTTAGGGGGACCACAATATCCAGGGTGGAGGTTCAGATGGCATGAGTTTTCGGTTGTTATGATCCATTTTACCCTTTACTTGTACCTAGTCTAGTTGTGTATCACTCGCTTCGGTTGATTAACCCCAAATTCAGTAACCAACTAATGGTTACTAATCTCTATACCAATCTTTCTAAACTGACTCAATCTCTCAAGGTTGAGATTAAGATTGTGTGGAAGCCTGCGTTAAATTTAGTATCAGACACCTGGATATCAGATTTAATAAACGGGCAATGGTCTAGGACACTCTAGGTAATGTAATGGTCTAGTATTTGTTCTGTCATGCTCTGTAATGGTCAAAGGTTTAGACCTGGATTTGATGAGGGCTTCAGTTAGAATTTAACAGCGTATTTTCGTCAATATTTTTAAAGAATTTCGGTGAATTACAATAGAGACGACATGCACACAATGCGCAGCAATGTGACGGAAGCTCTAGTTGGGGATTCCATTGCCGTTCTTGGGATAGCTTTTTCATTTCTCCTTATTTACGCCACTTATTTCACCAGTCTGTCATCAATCCACTTATCTATTTCATCCATGATAAAATTGGTTTCCTCAATCCCCTTATCTCTCACACATTATAATGTTGCCCATTCATTACATGTCAATTCTATATTTTTGAGATTCAAGAAAAGTGCAGTGCAGTATATCTCAACTATGCTTGATCAAATCGTCATTTTATTCATTTTAATTTCATTTCATCTGTACCTCACAATACACTACAGGCAGAGCTTTGTGGCGTCCCGGGCCGGCAGGTGAGCGTGCCGCTTTTCTTCTTGTCTCTCAGTGAAGAGGAGCAAAAGCAGTTTGGCTCTCCAGGTGAGACCAAAACCTGATGCTACATTCTTAAACTCCTTTCACAAAACCAAGTGCGTAAATTTGACACTCAGAGTAATTGGAATCAGTAGCTATAATTTGGCCTGAAGGTAAGCAAAATCAGAAGCTGAAAATTTTCAATTAAGTAATCAAATTCACAGGTGTTATTTGAGACTCTTAGTAACCCTAATAAGCTATTACAATTAGTCAAGCTTCAATTGTTTTGATAATACAAATTATACTACTTGGTATCTAAATAAATACCTTATCAAGCTCTCGCGGTTGACATAATATCTTGGCCACTCGTATTGTTCTCTTTTCATTGCATCTCATTATTTTATAATCCGACATAACAAGTTGTCTTGATATCGACGAATGTTGGCTTAATTTTAAATATATTAAATTAACATATTTGAAAATATGAGCATTTTGTGCAATTCTTCATAAAATTCTCCATATACTCAATCAGACAACGATAGGCTTTTCTATGTGTTCAATGACCTGTGAGGAATAATTTCTCAATACATCACAAACCAAACGTGCTTGAGATTATTAATGGTATCAAACGAAACTTGGGTTCTCATCATAAACAACATTCATGTGGGCGAGTGGGCTCAATATTTCTGTTGGTGGCTAAATTCTACATGCATTTTGTTGAAACTTATGTTTTGGTCGCAGGCAAAATTTTTGCACACGAATGGGCTCACTACCGCTGGGGGGTTCACGACGAACATGGGTTCGGGGGCGATGACGTCTACAGCTCAACGTACGGCAACTACCAAACTGCTATGTGCATCGCGGGCACCACCAATGGCACTACCAAGAGGGACTGGTAATTAAATGTTCAGTAGTGGGTACAAGTACAGCAATATATTGTAGAAAAAACAGCGTCTTAGAGTGCTTAAGAAATCGTGCGCTACCATTGAGTGTCTTATATATAATTTGATTCACAGATAATTCTCACCTAACCTCAATCGTGTATAGCTGTTTTATTTGGGATTTAATCATACAAGTTGTGTTGGTTGAGGAGATGGCGAATTAGTTAACTTAACTTTAAGACTTGCGAATTAGTTTGTTAGCTCGCTGTCATCAAAGCACGCTGTAATTTTTGCATTATATTAAATTAATTAACTGGAATGTATGTGAATTAAACTTCATAACTCCCAATGATATCTGCACTTCATGAAGGAAACTCCGAAACGAATTTCTATTATGATGGGCAGCAAAAATTTTTATTATCAAATAATATGAATACTATATTATATGATATATATTATGCGAAATATATGTGGTTATCGATTATAGCAGGAATTTGTTTTGAATTTTCATCCTAGAAAGCAGGGCAGCATTGGGAGTTACTTTGCTCCCTTTGGAGTACAGAACCAAGGATTTTTTTTTAATTTTTTGCTTTTTTAATTATTAAATGTAGCACTAGTATTTAAACCCATGTTCAGCAATTGTTAGTTTTCTAAAAAAAAAACTTTTTTACAGCACAGAGGTCAAGAAAATTGTTCAAAATGCTTCCTTACATAAGGAAAAGAATTGATTTGCCTATTTAGTTTAATAAACTTACATGAGCTATACTGTAAATTTGTAATACTAATACTAAGTGAAACAAAATTAACATTTTCATGCACTAAATAGAACATTCTGAACTTTTTGCGTGTTGTTGGACTTGAATAAAAAATTTTGCGAGAAGCAACATTCACCGAATATTAATTTATATGCAATAGCTACTTTAATATAATAAAAAAATTGGGGAACACATTTGATCTTTAGGGTATTGCCACATTACTGAGGTTAGATTAGATTGTGTTTTTTATTCTAGTTAATTCAAGAGTGCTATAAAAATGGAAAAGCTAATCAACGTCCAATAATGTTCTACGTACCTGAATTCTTCAACTTTATTTTCTTTTTACAAAATTTTGTCAAACTTTTTATATCTGAAATTATCTTTTTAATATTTTCGTCGAAATTTGATGTTATAAAAGTTTATATACAAACTCTTAGATAATAGTTTTTTCGCTAATAAATGCATTTAGAAAAATTCAATTTTTTTCAAAGGCAGTGAAGGCGGTTTTACTTCCTCCTTGTATACAGTGAAAAAAAAAATTTCGGTTCATTTACTTTTAAAAAGGGTAAACGAGCTAGCAATGAAGTTATCGGGCTTGGCATTTTCCTGCAAAATTTTGGGTAACTGCATAAGTGTGTTTAGTACCTGTTCATCATTTGTCAGGTTGTTTTCTAAATGCATTTTATTGTTAGAGAAGAAATTCAAGTTCTTTTTCTCTGGTGATATTTCAATTTTCATCTCGATGAATATATATATATATGCTGAATAATATTATATATTATGAATATAATATTATAATTATATATATAATAAGATATATAATTATAATATTAATTAATTTATTAATATAATAATAAAATATTATATTGAATATAATATTATTAACATTATAGTAATATTATTATTATACTGTATATGAATAATAATAATAATATATATGCATATATATTACAGGCTTATTAGGGCATACATCTGTATACCTGAAATAGTACATTTCTCACTTCATCAAGTCTCAAAACTCGTTGGATGTTGGAAAACAACAGTTCGCAGAGCCGAGGCAAATGATCACATCGCTTGAGGAAGCAAATAATTCTGGGTTTTACTAATTCGGCGGCCACGACAGTCAAGTCAGAATTGTGTCCGTGAAACCTCAAAATATCCAAAAATATAACTCAGTACTCACTGCAGGGAGTGGCAGAGAGCGCATTTTCTCGGCGATTAAAACGTGAAGTCACGGACGGACAGACAGACGGACGGACAGACGGACGGACAGACGGACATGGCGAGCACAATAGTGCATTTTTTCTATAAATGAGAAAATGCGCAAAAAAGCCTCTAAAACAAACATAATTATTTGTATTTGGGCATACCAACTTCCAATTTTTTAACCTAAAGAGAGCTAGAGCGCAATTTTTCTCGCAATTTTGTCTTAATTTACCGTGCCTTGATGCTCGACATAATCATTTTTTGGTCAGTTGAACTCCTGAGAGAGACTTCCTGGAGTGAGTATTCAGTATGCCTACAAGGTTTTTAAATCAAAAATGTTTTATATAACATAATTCGGTGTCTAGCTTTGTTCTATAATATGCTTACATTTTGAAATGAATGATCGAAGTAAATAAATTATCGTATATATATATATATATATTCCGGTAATATATATTTACGATAATTTATTTACTTCGATCATTCATTTCAAAATGTAAGCATATTATAGAACAAAGCTAGACACCGAGAAGAAGTATTGCTTGCGTACAAAGAAGTAACGCTCAAGGAGAATTCTTGACAGCTTCACTATTTACATTTTAGAAGATTTCTTGCATCACTACTCGAAAAAAAGGGTCTGACCGGCGTTTTCTTGGCCGGCCGCCCCGCAGAATAAAACCATATCGTCGATATTTTTGTATGTTATCATATGAAACTTAGCTGAACCATTATGTTCTAACTATACATGACAGCCGGCCATGTTAACCGGTTTTCACCGTTTTTTCGAAACGTGCCTAAACTTTTGGTGATATGATCTGATGTGTTATAAAGGAAATAATATGATCACTATTCGTATATTTCTGAATTGCAAAAAGATAATTGTGCAGTTCAACGACGGACATTTGTGAGCCAGGCAGCAGCGGATGCTACTTCTGCTTCGGGGAGGACGAGACCGCCGACCAAGTCCAGGCTTCCCTCAGCTACATGCCAGCTCTCTCCGTTAGCATTGTTCCTCCTGCTCAAATTATTTTCGATCTTGACACTAAAATTTAGAAACTATTTTCTCATCACTTTCTTTCACTTTCGCTAAAATTTTCTCTCTCGTTCCTCTTGAACTAATAATTTCGAAGCTTTAATATTTTATTGAGCGATTACTACTAAGTTTTTGATGTTGTTCTTATTTTCGATTCGCGTACTTCTTGCATTCAAAATTTCGTAAAATATCTACTTCTAATTGCAATTCGTACTGAGTTTTTGCCCCTTAGGTTTATTCTATCATTCTATAGCTATATGAATTCAGAAATAATTTGAAAAATTTGTGGGAACGACAGATTTTTCGGAACTCCAACCTTTTAAAACGATCATTTCAGTCGTTATTTTCAAATCATTATCTTTTCAATAATTCATAAGTTCAGAAGTGATGAGTTTTCCCTTCCCGTAATTCTATAACTGAATCCACCGATCGTAATATACATGTCAAAATGTCACTTAATCAGGGTTCACAAGAAAAAATTTAATGCAAATTTTTCCTGCCCTCTCTTCAAATCCCACTTTTCTGTCAACTCGCATTCGCATAGTCAATACAGTGGTCTAATAATTTACTGGGAGCCGATATCCTAGTTATACAAAATTACTATTCCGAATCCTTGTAGCTCGTAACCCGTTATCAACTAACAAACATTGACTATAATATTGTTCTACATTTGATTCCGTACGTCGCCAATACTCCGTCAAATTCAACCAACGACACCCATGACAGTTAAAAAACTGCCTCTCATTCAGTGTTTCTTCAAGACTTTCGTTCGAAACCTATTTTACTCTGTTGGAAAACTATTGTACAGTAGCTATTCTTTATTTTTCGTCCGTATACTACTTCATAATTTTTGAACAAACTTAATTTCCAAACCAAAGCCCTATTTCATCTCATATTTTCTTTAACTTAATCTAGTCACATTCACACTTTTGCAAAATAATTACAGTATGTAGTATATTAGTAAGTCAGCACATTTGCTGACTTACTGCCCAAAATGCACATATATACCTCAATATAAATAAGGTCTCATACATACATATGTACATCAATTGTAACGTTTATTCGGGACATCCCTGGCAGACCGGTAAATTCTGCGACGCTGCCACCCACGTGCGCAACACACCGTCCCCTCAGAACGTGCTGTGTGGCGGTCGCTCCATCATGGAAGTCATCCAGCAACACCCCGACCACCTCCTGCAGTGAGATAATCCGACGTGTTTTTCTGCTGACTTATCATGGAAGTCATCAAGCAACACCCCGACCACTTCCAGTGAGATAATCCGACGTGTTTTTCTGCTGACTCAGTTAAGGAATCATGTAAGTCATCCAGCAACACCCCGACCACTTCCAGTGAGATAATCCGACGTGTTTTTCTGCTCACTTAGGTAAGGAATCATGGAAGTCATCCAGCAACACCCCGACCACTTCCAGTGAGATATTCCGGCGTGTTTTTTTTTTTGCTGACGTAGGTAAGGAGTGAATGAGCGTACAGCAATCCCTCACCCATCGCTGGTACAGTACGTTCCAGATCTAGCCGTGATAATTATGAAATATTTAAGGGGAATTTATCGACTAATAGTCTAATAGTGCCTATTAAATTATTTATATTATAATTGTTTGGTAAGTTTTCATTGTTGTAAGAGTTTCTGAATTAATTAAACTATAAATTTTTTAATATTTAGGTTTTCATACAATTTTAGTTGCATTATAAAAAACATGCCGATCGAAAAAAAAAACATGCCTACCTCAGAAACCCGCGAACCAGCGAAGATGTGCGAAGGATTATTTCGTCACCGTTCTTTTAATCGTAACCGTACTTTTATTAAGTGTTGTACTCCTCACTGCATTGCATTGGTATTCCGTCAGGATGTCCGAACACAATCCTATTGTGCCGCTGATAACCGTCACGCAGGAGCCCGTAGGACGTGTACTGCTGCTGCTCGATACGCCTTCAGTTTCAGCTCCAGCTGGGGTGAGTTAGGACTTCTTCGAATCCTTTTTTGTTTTCACTTTAACCACCTCCTTTTCTGCCTGAGGAAGGAAGCATGGGAAGGATGACAAGGCTTCCCAAAATTCCAACCTTAACTTAGCATCTTTATTTCTATGTCTCAAATGCCTGACACCCGAAGCACCCAGAGTAAATGCTTGTAAATTTTTTTCTAACTGCCGAGATTCTAATCACTTGTTTGTTGCAATTGGCGTTATTTTCCCAGTATTCTCGTTGATAAGCATCATTTCTCTAACTTTGAAATCCACTCATTCTCAGACTTTGTATCTACTACTATTTACCATTTGTTCCTTAATTTTAAAACCGTTTCATCCTCTGTCATCCCTTTTTTTCCCAAGACTTTAGTGAACTACACCCGCCTCGTCAATGATTTGGAGAGCTCACTGTTGTCCCCTGGTGGAGTGGAGGTTGGCATGGCCTCCTACAGGACTGATGGGTCTGGAGGAATACAGATCTACCTAACGCGCCCCTACGCCCCAGTCTTATGTACGAGTCAGGGTTACCAGTTGGCCTTTATTCCGGACGAACTCCGCGATTTAGTTTTATTCAATTGCGTTGGCCGGCTAAAATTTGTGATGACGGTACTTCTTTGTTAAATTCTAAGAAGTGCGAAAAAAATGAAAATGAAATTTTTATATATCTTAAGAACATACAATTAAGTATATATTGAGTTATGGGCCTATTTTGGTCTTTTTTGTCCGCAGAGTTGGCTATTTTTTAAGCCATCTGGTATCAGTTACAAATGCTAAAAATTTATTTTACTATTGTTGGAAACTGTAATAATAATGAAAATTAATTGACAATTGAAAAGCTGAAATATTTAAGCTCATGATTTTCAAAAATTGTAGATGTCGATGCAAAAAAATAATAATCGCAATTTAAATGATCCTAGGAAAATATTGTTGTTTATGAAATGTTATCACTGCAAATTTTGTCCCGCTTTCTGGTAACAGGAACAGAAAATTGTGAAGAAGTCAATATATTAATCTTGTTAATAAAGCTTTTATTTTCTATCATTCAGATCACGGTGAGCTCTACGACTTCATTCCCGAGCCTGAGTACCGCACCGAAGCCCCGGACTTGTCTCTCGTGTTGAACGAATTGCTGAGCACCGCAGAGGTCTTCTTCCCGGGCACTCTAGTGGTGATCCCTGTCAACCAGGAGCTCATTGACTCTTCACAACTCAACAAAATCATTGCTGTGAGCATTTCGTTTCCATGCATGTTGAATCTGAATTCTCCATTGTTAAAAATTTAAAAACAAAGACAATAGCCAGAAAGTTCACCATTTCTTAAAGAGGAAAACGTTTCGGAGACCAGCTCCATCATCCATTGTTATCCCGTCGAAAAAATTTTAGCCCAGCCAATGAAACTGGAAGATCCTCTATTAGAATAATTACCTTTGATGTAGCTAAGGCTAGCATTTTGATTATTTTTGCGTATGTTAGTGCCCCGTTTTGCATAATCCTCTCGCAAGCCGTGATGAATATTTACGCACTGTTCCGAAAGAAACTATAGCGTGTTCATGATCGTCGTTTGATCAGTTACTCAAGGATGTGCAACGCTGCTGAAGTCGCTAGTGCACTTTAATGATGCCTGTAGATACACGTATTTTACGAATTATTTCACTATTTATATTATTAACAAGCAGGAGAACCCTGCTTGTTAATGTCGGTAAGGTAGGCGACGGGTAAATGGTAGGCGACGGGTAATATTTAGCCGGTTTACCTCAACACTGCTATAGGGAATGTATATGGAATACCTGCTTATAAATGTGAGGGTGAAGAGTAGCAGCTAGTTTAACTCCTTCGATGCTCGTGAAAGATGAGGAACTAAGTTGAGTGTTGAACATGCTTTCCAGGTTAAACCGGTGACACTAGTGAGGCTATTAGTTGTCAAGCAGCCTAGTAAGGCGATTAGTTGTCAAGCAGCCTATAGTAAGGCGATTAGTTGTCAAGCAGCGATTAGTTGAGTCAAGCAGTGAGGCAGTCACGTCAAGTGACTGCCAAGCAGTGACTTAGTCAAGCAGTGAGGCGATTAGTTGTCAAGCATCCTATCAAAATGACATTCTTTTGGATGCTCTGTTAAATATTAATTGCGAAGTGTGCTCCACATGATCCGCAGAAGACCGGTTGGATACGAGGGTGCTTTCCATGACAAAATGCATCAACACAACCTCGATGCATATTGACCATGATACTTTACGGTGTATATGATATCTATTGTTAGATTAGGCAGGCAGTATATGTGATCGTAAGTGAGGCGCCAAACAAAAAAATGCCAGTAAAGCACTGCATAATTATATAAATTTAATCTCTAGAATTTGCGGAGTACCTGACAATGTTCGTGCCAAATTGCATGAGCGACGCACGCTTTACTAACCAACTCGCTCCCCTATTTTTACTTCAATCAAAAATAATTGTTTATTTATTATTTTATTTATTTCTGTTACAGGAGTCGTTGCACTCACGCCGCATGAAGCCTCTACTCCTCTTCCCCGAGCGTGACCCTAAGTTGCTGCAGTGCGGGTCGTTCTTGCAGTATTCAGGCGGTCAAGTCGTCACTAATAACGTCACTAGTGGTGATGACGTCATGACGTCGGCCATTGCTGTTCCTGAAGTCGAAAACTTCATCGAAAACGGATACATAAACGATCATCCTATTGTGAGTCACGTCGAAGGCTTCAGTTTATTGAGACTATAACAGTCACTGTGAGTCACTTCAGGCACACAGGCTTCAGTTATTGAGCGATTTTTTAATATTACAGTTACTGTGATAATCAGCTCGTTAGATTGTTATAAGCACCAGAGAAATCCGGAAAGTACCGGCTGCTGAAATAGTTATTAATTTTCTTTTGTAATGGAGCTGATAGAGACAATAAACCGTGAAACTATTTATTAGCAAACTTGCATTTAAAGGTTAAAGTGTGGGAAATCTTTTAATGTTCTTGGCATTATAAAAAGGACCATGTAATCAAGATCATGACGGGTATTTTTATGACGGGAAATATTTATGAGCGGCGATGTTAAATATGATTATGTCATAGGTTACAATGCGATCATAGGAAGTCTCGCAATCCCAAGCAATCTTAAGTCATGTGAATCAACCGCACACTGGCAATCGCAATAGGAAATCTAATTTTGCAATGATGCAACCATTAGCTTTGGGTATATATTTATTTTTATCCAATCTCATCAATTAAAAAAAGAGTTAACGTGTCTCTTGTAGTTTAATTCACCGTGCGTGGTTCAATTATTTACCATTGTATTGACGATTGTTTGCCGATGATGCTACAAATGATGATCACTTTATTCTCCTTTACCACATTAGTTTTAAGTTAAAAAGGTTATTTTTTTATCTATGTTTTGCACTTTATCAATAAATCAATCGACCTCACTTAATCTAATTCAATGAATTGCATTGTTCAAATTACTCATAAAAAATTCCACCTGCCACTCAATTTTTAGCGCATTTTCTCATCTATGAAATAAATCCACTATTGTGCTCGCCATGTCCGTCTGTCCGTCTGTCTGTCCGTCGTTTTCAGACGGACTGTCTGTCCGTCTGTCTGTCCGTCGTTTCGTCCGTCTGTCCGTCGAAAACTTCACGTTTTCGTCAACGAGAAAATGCGCTCTCTGTTACTCATTGCAGTGAGTACTGAGTTCTATTTTTTATTTATGTTTTGCAATTTATCAATAACTCAATCGACCTCACTTGATCAAATTCAATGAATTATACTGTTCAAATTAATTATGAAAAATTCCAACTGTCATGAATGCAATTTTTTTATTCCTTTTTCTATCAAAATTCAAACCAAAATATTCGCGTCTTATATTCATGGCAGGTACGGGAAGACTCAGTGAGTGTCTCAGCTAGCAGCCCCTTCCAAGGCACGGTCTACTACCAGACCGACGTGGCGAAGACCCTCATTGCAGTAGTGACGTCGACAGACTCTGTGGCAGACCTGACTATCCAGTACAAAAAGTATGGCACGTTCAGGGACTGCGAGAACTGCGAAAAGTCACAGAACTCGATAATGTACAAGATCACGCCTGGTAACCCTGTGAGTGGCTGTCATGCAACCATTGATTCATCTATTTGTGTTTCCAAGCTGCAAATTACGTTCACCAATATTTTCAAGTATATGAATTTATTCTTCCAATATAATTTTAAATTGTTGAACCTAGTTTTGTTTCAAATATGGGGCCTATAAATACTTATATTCTCTTCAATTCATTTTAATTTAAGGAAGCGTATGAGACTCTGTAAGTAAATGATTGAAACCGTAACATCACTGATTGCTTACAAAAACTGCGTTGAGAATAACGATTTTTATGTGAACATTTATTGTAGGTTCAGGAAAACACTATTCGCAGAGGATTTTTTCACTAACTATTTGCTTACTATCCTTCTAATGGCAATCTACATGCATCCCTCCTTCTGCAGAGGATGATTATAGTAAAGATTTGATGTACAGTGAGTAATTCTAAAGGCTCGTTGTCGCCATGGGGTGCTTTCCCTGGTGAAGAGTGGAGCCTGAAAATCCTGAACAAAGGCAGTACAGGCGTCGCTGTGCAGATCACGTGGAGTGAACTCTACTATGTCGGCATGACTGAAGAGGTTAGCGATCTATCAAGCATTTCCCTTAACATAAAAGTTTTTAGAATTTCCGTTATATAATGCTAACCAAAACAGGGTTTTTTCCAATTGTTGTAGCACAACTATAAGAATTTACTTATCAACTGAATTTGCTATTAAGAACATAGAACCCGAAACTGTAGTTTTGACATGTTTCAATAATTACCTGAATGATTAGTTGTTAATTAAATAATTTGATTTCGGGTTTTATAATACATTTTTGAAAATGAGAAATGTGTTGTCACAATAATTATCACAGCGGCAACAGGAACGGTGATAATTCCCCTGAAGCCAAAAATATAAATGAAGCCAAAATGTTCAAACATTTACAAAAAATGTAAAATATTACTCGTATGATGAATGAAAATACCTATTAACAAATGTACAGTTTTTGCTCACTCATGTGAGTACAGTAGTATTTCTCTAAAGATTTTACTATATCCTACTAGACCAATAAATGTTGTTGAATTTTTAATTACGTAAGCTCATTGTGTTTGTCAATTACTGTTAATTACTAGTGACGTCTTTTCAGTTGGACATTGTGGTCTGGACATCTGAGGGGCGGGGGCCAATTTCGCAAATTAACGAAAATCAAGAACTTGTTCTCTATGCATCAGTGAGTCGATATATCTATACCCTCTTTGTCTCGAGAAATCTCTTACGCAAAAATCAAGTACAGACAAAAAGATGTCTCACTTAACGCCGAAGCGTAAACTCGAATACGTTCGAATTTATAATGTGTTCTGCATTCTCTGCAAGAGAAACGTGTTTTAACTCGAGAGCGACAATCATGCGATGCACTTCAAAATTCTGCAGTGAATTTCCTTTCCGAAATACACATTATTTCTCCCCTCGATCCTCTTTCCATCCTCAAGGAAAATCGAACATTTGTATTTTTACTGTATAATAAAATCCAATAATCATATCTAAGCAGCAGGCTTGACTTTTCTGGTTAGTGACTCTAGAAACACAAAAATATTTTAGTTAAATTACCAGCGCCTTCACTTTACCTTCTAGTCCTCCCTCCCCACTCTACCACCCCCCTCCACCTGCTCCCCTTGCCTCCATTCTTCCCTCACCACCGCCCTCCACCTGCTCCCCTTGCCTCCATCCTTCCCTCACCACCCCCCTCCACCTGCTCCCCTTGCCTCCATCCTGCCCTTACCACCACCCCTCCACCTGCTCCCCTTACCTCCATCCTTCCCTCACCACCACTCCCTCCACCTGCTCCCCTTGCCTCCACCCTCCCTCATCCCCCCACCCCCCGCAGGTCCTCAACTACGGGAGGCAGGTGCTGGGGTCGCGTGTGGCTGTGACGGCAGACCTGGGGCTGGTGGGGCCGGGGGGCGGCGACCCTCTGCTCTTGGCTGGCGTTGAGCTCCGCGATGACGGGATCGGTAAGAATTTCCATCCCTTAGTTCTGAGCATCATTCGCGCATTTAATGTCACCGATAGTAAATTGTCGTCTATCATACCTACTTAATTAATTACTATTAACCCGAAAAAAGGCTGCGCTCATGTGCACCATCTAGAGGGAAAAGGAAAACGACCATTTCTGGAAGATTTAGGTAGCTTGCCGTTTGCCACATTCTGATTATATGAAGTGGCGGTTTACTCTACGTACATGCCATCAAATCTGTCGATGCTTTATAAATCCCATCAATAATTCCATCACAGCCACTACCTGAACTGCATATTGAAGTGCGTGCAGTGTTGTATTCAGCTTATTTGATGGAGTACTCAGCTTACTTGATGCAGTATACTGTTTATCACCACTTACTAAAGTACATACTGTACACTCCTACAACCTGAGCTTTACTGAACCACTCGGAGTACTGCACACTGTATAGCTGTGAGTACTATACGTAACTGCTATAATCAGTCCCGCTACTGTACACCGCAGTGTCGCTACTCAACACTGCACTCAATGCTATCAATACAATAGGTTGCATTCAACACCATGTGACCTGAAATGAGGTCCTCTGCAATGGATTTCGGGGCACCATTTGTGTCTCTCTAGTTAGTATTTAGCCAGATTGAGTTAATTCTGATGCAAAAGTGTTTCTTTAATGCATATGTTTTAGTAACTGCATTTTGAACATCTTAGTGATTTATTTTGCACCGCACTTCAGTTTTCTCCTCCACTGTTCATGTCGTGCATTTCATTATTATGTCTTGCAGAGAAGCTGATGTTTCAGAACCAAATGAAACACGGTGTTATCAGAGTGTATGGATTATATAATCATTATGGCGATGATAAGGCATGAATGATTAGGTATATAACTCACATATAGCTTAATCAAATAATTCTTAATTCGCCAACATTTCTTAATTTATCTGAATTCTTCTTCAGCAGGTTGAGGTAACCTTATGGTCGAGCATTCCCTTCAGATTTCAATTCAAAATTATCATTTATTCTCACTCTTAGAAATAAACTGTTTCAAATCATTGAATACGTGTATGCATGTTCTACGTACATACGCTTGAATTTCCTTCATTGTGTTCAATAACCCGGAGCGATTTATTTCTTCATTAATTTGTTTTGCCCTAAGTTGACATTAACACAGCACTACCAGGCAGTATTCGGGCATTAATCAAAGTTTTTAAACGATCAATAATTAATTCGCTTGAACATCTCGTTTCAAGAGATGCCACGTGACTAAGACTAAGGAGACTCACTTTTCGCTGATTTGGCCACGATGTCAACTGAACGCAAATGGTATAAATTGTCTTTGTCGGCGATCTGGAAAATCTCTATCTGTAATCTTACTAGTTTAAATTAAAATGCTTTAACCTTTTCGCAATAAAGATGGACAAAAAAGGTTAAGTTGCGTCCATTATTAAATTGTTAATTTCACTCTCTCGAAGGAGTTGACTTGCGTCGTGACGACAGCGTCTTTTCGTGCTCCATTACTGACGAAATAGCCGAAGGCTCCTCCGTTGCGGTCTCTGCCATCTACGTAAGCAGTGCATCCCCGAGTGAAAGATCCAACACTCCTTTCTCCGACTCCGTGAACTACGGCATGAGCAGCAACAAGTCCCCCCAGTCTAGTGGACTGTACCCCAGAGACACCAGTCTGGTGGAATGTTGTGGCAGCTTCGTACAGAACCCCGACACAGAGCTGCAGATGGATGTCAAGGGCTTTTACGTCATCGCCCGCGACGTGGTGCCACTGGGGGCCACTGGTTTCGGCACTGCGACTGGGATGTCCATTGTCCTCGACAGGGTGAGCAGAAAATTAATTGGAATTGGGACTGAGTTGGCAGAGAATCATACCTTTGAATATTGTAAAACACAGACGACAGAAGGGCATTCAATGAAAACAATGAGATTTTTCGAGAACTGGAGGGTTTCTTGTGGGTTTAAAATCATCCATCTTATATTTTCCTTATTTCAGTCTTACCATGTTGATCTACAAAACTTCAACAGTTTTTAAATGCAAAACAAAATTATCTGGAAAGTGTTGTTTAGTGATTTTACGTAAGATTTTCCTCAGTTTTTATGGCTTCGAACGAAATTTATTATTGATTTACTCACACTCCTTTGTGCAAGCAGACGATTAACAAGACTTCAAATATGGAAACAACTACCTCTCCCTCTACTACAACCCCAACCACTACGACTCCCACCACTACGACCCCCTCCACTACAACCTCCGCCACTACAACCCCCACCACTACAACCTCCACCGCAACAACCCCCACCACTAAAACCTCCACCACTACAACCCCCACCACTACGATTCCCACCACCACGACCTCTACAACTATAACCCCCACCTCTCCGACCTCCACCTCTTCAACCCCAACCTCTTCAACCCCAACTACCACAATCCCCACTACTACAACAACAACCATAACCACAACCATTACAACGACCATAACCACCCCCACCCAAACAACCACGACCACGACCACCTCCACTACCACCACCACCGATGAGCTCACGTAACCGCCTCATCCCCTCTCTGCGTCCCTGCGACAACGACACTCTACCAGGACCCATACTTACAAAAAAAAGTTAAGAGATCGTAAGTTCATCAGCCAGTCATTGACGGCCTTTCAAGCAAAATCCACCAATCATAGACAAGAAAATAGAGCGTAAGTACTTACGTTCACTTGGCGAATTTTGAAAGTATGGCCTCTGGCTGGGACCGGCCACGCCGATCACCGCGCTGCTGCAGTTAATAATTTAAGCTGCTATTTTATTAACATATAATTTAAAATTATTGCTCTGAAGACTGCTTATAAAAGCATATAAAATAGTTCAAGCTATTGCGTATAGATATATTTGACAATATGCGGGCATCGCACACTTTCATGACCTCGTGAATAATTTCGGAAATCGCTTCTGATCGACGCCGTGCCACCGGTGGAAGATGTGAAATAAATAAATTTGATTAATCACAATGATAATTTTATATTATGTACTCTTACTAGAGCGATATAACTTTGAAATTCCCAGTGAGGGAGTCCAGTGGATTTCTCACCTTGCCGGAGTAAGTAATTTTTTTAAATGATATTGTAACTGTTTGACATGTGATGTAGCTGAATTGCCGCTGAAAAATCGTAAATTTCATCCAAAATTTAGATATAATCTAACGATTTAATAGTTAAACTTATGTTATCCTGTTACGTAGCTGCAAATGATTAAATGTGTGTCAGATAACTCCTGATGTTTCATTCTCATTAACACAGATGCTTGCATCGTGAGCTATACCCTCGAAGTCAGGCAACGTCCAGTGACTTTTATTCTAGGTCACAAAGCTCCATAATAGTTATTACAATCACCGCGATCAGTTTTTTAAATGCAAATGGAACCGAGAGGTCAAAATATGCTTACAAAGCTGTTCACAGTATCTCGTTGATAAAATGTTTTTGTATTAATAACCTTGAGATTGGTAACAACGTCAAATAATTGTGCATGTCGAAAAATATTAGGCTGATTGTGCTATAAAAATTTTCCCAAAATAGTCGAACATATTTTCGATGGACTAATAAAATTTCGACCAGCTGTCCATTACCATTTAATTCTTTAACATCATCAAAAGTATACTGCAATATTACAAAATAATGGTGAAGTACCACAATAAAATCCGACCAATAATTTCTCTGATTTTAAGACTATCTAAACATTAACGCTAAATACTTATTTTATCCTATCCCGAATTCAGATATAACCGTTCATAAATGTCGTGACTCGTGGTCCGACCGCAGACGTCGACGTGTGTTCCTTAGAGGACAAATATAAGCTTCATTCACAAGTTATTCTTCCTCTAAAGCTGGATTAAAGTTCCCATCAAAATAAAGTCTTCATTTAATGTTTAAATGTTCAACTACTATGTGCAAAAAGTTGTTGAGCTTTTCCTTTCTTATACATTCCTTTTTCGGAATTTATCGTATCATGTTGAATGTTGAGTTTCAAAATGTTGAGGTTACATCTTAACAATTTTCTATGAACAGACTCAATAGAGAAAATTATTTGTGGAATGACTTTTTTACCACGGTAATGAAATTCAATAAGAAATAAATACCTTTCATTTATCACTGCCCACAGGTGATTTGGGTTCGGGTATTTTATATCGATGTTTGTCGCTACTCTATATCAGACTGAATATGACATATTAAATTACACTGCATTATCACGGGACAAGTCTCCAGGGTAGTTCTAATGCTCATAATCGGCCATAGTTATAAATTAGTTGTAATCCTACTAAAAAATATGAATTGTTTCGGTAACTATAAAATATTGTTTCAATTGCGGCACGGTGACTGAATTAGGCCAGTTATTTCAACTGTACTTCAGTTTGACAGCGACTTTATTGACTCGGTGAGTCTCAACCCAAAGCTCGTGTGCTATTTTCATTTCAGACTCTGAATGTATAATTCTGTCATGATGTTCTTTCTAATCACTTATCCATGTCACTGAAGCTAACTTGTTACTGAAAGACATAATTTAGTATTTTTACTGCTTGAAATTTTGAAATTTTCATTTTGACGCACCGGACGGATTTCTGTTCGTTGACAGTTCCGACGCTCGTTTAAACTTATTTAAAGCTTGTTCATAAGACTAGTTATTTGTAGAGGTTTTCACTTGAGCTCGTATATACATCAATTTCATCCGTGCGTTGTAGTTGTTATACTTCTATTTTCAACTAAAAATTTATTACACACACTGCTTATATTGAACATCCACATAATATCCCGCCTACGTTCATATACATTCAATGTTTATTCAATATAATATATATTATCAGATATTTTCAGTTAAAAATTTGTACATCTCTCGACCACACTACTGATATGAAACGTTTACAGATTATTCCATCCATATTCCTATATATTCATGTTTAAACAATAAAAGCATCAGTTTGCATTCATTTCTTACAAAAAAAAATTAAAAAAACTTTTTAAAAAGTTTTGATGTCGCTCCAACGTCATTTTAACACAGCTCAGGCAAACGCTTCACTGAATCTTGTTCGCTTCCCTTTTTTGTGGTCGGTTTGCACGCTTGCTTCTCGTTCGAGAGAATGTCAATTTTCACTGACATTCTTTCCACTCCTGAGCAACTGCAATTTACATTAGTTTCTCATCTTACCTCTGAAAAAAATGTTCTGCTTGAAGATGCGTGCAGCAGAGCAAAATTTTTACAGCTGAGATGCAGATACTTCCTCATTCGATTTAGCGGCCAGAGTGAATATCTCAGCACTGATTATTATTTTTATATAAATAATTTTTTTAAGCAAACTAGAAGCTTCTGTAATAGCTTTCATCTTCTTGAGAGTTCACTTTAAAAGTACTCGCTTCACGTTGTATTTCGATAGAATTTTTCCAATTTCATTATTTGAAAAGCAAAAACTGAAGTCGTTTCAATAAGCTGTAGCTACATCTTTGGTATAATTCTGAATTTCTTCAGAGCATACAATTATTTCATGACCATCATAAATCCTGCCGAGTACGATTGTCTGTCACTTGTAATGATATCACCTAAATGAATCCGTCTGCTGAGAAGTTGAGAGTGACATTTAACTTTAATATTCTATTATAAATAAAGGATTCGTTATATAATTTTCGAATAAATGGTAATATACTATACTTTAAAATAAGAATACTTAAACCAGTATCTTTAATTACGATAAAAATAAGCATTATCACGATCATCACAAAAAAAAAATAATTGTTTCCGATGAATCACTGCTAAGCTTTAGATAGACTATACTTCAAACTAAGAATACCTTTTCCAGTATCTTCAATTACGAGAAAAATAAGCATTAACACAATTATCACACAAAAAATAATTAATTGTTTCCGATGAATCATTGATAATAATAAGCTTTAGTATGAGGAAAGACACCTCGCTACGAACGATCAAGACACGGCCATTATATGCTTCAAATCTTAAATGAAATAGACTATTACCGACCAGGAAACAAACTTCCACAAACTTCGTGTTCTTTCAAATCCTTTTTCTCGGATGTGTTCGGAAGATGCGCGTAAAATCAACTCTTACGCATTCCAGCATCCATTGATTAATATATAGAAATCATTGACAACCATCCAAGTCAGATGCAATCACTGAACAAAGCTTGGATTCATGCAAGGATCTTTGGTAAACGTGCGACGTGGTCAGAAATGTATTGAGTTTCTGAAATATTGTGTCACTATTTTAGTTGTATGATTCCCCTGGTGTTACCCATACTCAGCAGACCTTAAAAGTCATCAAGGTTAATATGCGAAAGTTATTCATTCGGCGAAGTTCCATTTATATGATCCAATCTTGAATTGAAGGACACTACGTTATCATTTGTATGTCAACCAATCGGATGCGTGGAATTCCAATATTATGCCATGCACTATTATTGTTACGCCCATTTACTATCAGGATATATTTGAGACGTACATTAGGTTCTGCGTGAAGATTAACCCTAATGAGTTTGTGTCAAGCTAACCCGACTAGCAGGTTTACCACGCACAGTGACTTGGCATGACCATGCGCAGTTAACTCGGTGCGAGGCAATGTTGATAGGCAAGATACCGGACTTATAAAATACACATGGAGCCTAGAGGGTGGAGCTGTAAAAATATATTATGGTGTCCATGATAGTAAGGTTACAGGGTAAGAAAGGGAGGTATCCATGTTTACCATACACTAACCTAACCACACACCATAACCTAACCTAACACTCACGAATCAATGTTATAAAAAAATAAATGGACATTTTTTAGTCAACCGTAATTCATAGTTAGGTTTGTATTGGCTTCGGACTAATAAAATTTCGGCAGTCAGACCATTACCATTCGTGAGTAGAATAACTGAATGGCCTTATTTTCTGTTGCTTGATTGTGTTATGAGATCAAGGTGCGTCACGTCGTGGTCTTTGAAGCGATTTGCGTGACGCCAGACGCGGTGCTCCGTCATTTGTGTAGTGTCGCTAGCAAGTGAAGGTGTAGTCGTTCTAAGCTACGTTCCTCGCTAGTTAAAAAAATTTCGGAGGGTTTATTCGAGCAAGGCAATCAGCAGGCCTCCATATTTCTGACATGCGTTGCGCTAAAATTTAAATGAGGTTTATTTTCTCATTAACACAAATTTCTGACGTTCTAATATTTTGATGGATCGTCACAGATCAGACAGCCAATAATACGAGCATCAAACGAAAACACATTGTTAACTCATGAACTCGCACTTTTCTTCTGGTCATGTTTTTATTGTTTGGCCTTTTTGCATAAAAGTTATGAGAAAGTAAATGCTGCCGTCGACCAAAAATCCTTATTATAATCAATAATTACCCAAACATTGTTACAGTTAATTGTTATTCATCGATCTTACAATTCCTCGCAGTGGCTGCAACAATTTCATTGATTATAAACCAAACGGTTAAGTTAAATCTCTCACCACCAAATCATGTTTCTAACTAAAGGCCTTCAACTTTTATGAGCACTGATATATTTTCTAATGATTCAAAATAAATCGTCACAAATAATTTTAAATGGAACATTTTGAAGTAATTCAATCATTTCCAACAAAGTTACAATTGAAATCAATTCATAAATGGTCTAAGGTCAGTTCTTCGATCTCCTGTAAACAAGTCACGAAAAGTACAAGAATTTGCGAAGGGTACTCACACTAATGTTACAGTTCAAGTGGGATCTGTGTGGTACACACTACACACAAGAATGATACATTTAGGATGGAAACGTCACGACATACTCACACGAATCATTCAGTTAGAGTGGGGACCACGAACCACTCAATGTGTGTTCAGTAGAAATATCGTCACAGTGCTACCTTGCTACAGTTCTTTTCGATGATATTTTTGGCTGGGATAGGTACCGTGCCGCCCAAATAAAAATTAAGAGTGGAGCACCTATGTTTTTAAGATGGCTATAGGCGGACGCCATAGGTGGAGCAGCTATGATTTATACAGTGAATTAAGGGTGGCGTGCACCACCTCTACCACGCCTATGACCTGCCGATAGCCCACCTACCCGTAAAGCTTTTCGTGACGGTCGATCAACCAATTCTTGTTAGCAAATACGAGTGGATTTTTGAAGAATGATGACGCAACTGCAAATTTATATGAGTATAAATTAACGACCATATATGAGACAGATTACTAATGTAAATGAATGCATGCCGTAATGTGTAATTCCTTTCCTCCATTACAACCAACTATTATTATTTGTTTACAATTATTATTTGATTTCCTCCATTACAACCAACACGTTTTATTTTAATTTTTTTCTTCAGGCTTCCCTGATTTCATAATTAGATGTTGTAATGTCATAGCAGAACCTGCAGCAAAACTATTATTTCTTTTTCGATCAATTATCTTCGATTTTCACTTCATTCCAATTTTTGTACAATGGAGGTGAGTTTTGATTATTTTATAATAAATTAAATTACGATTTATTATTTTCATTATTTATTGCACTCTTATTAGCGTCCTTTTAAGGTAGGAGACCTCTAGGAAGGTTACAACATATCGCCAGATCATCAGGGCATAATTTACTTCTAGCCTTTTTAATATATGTATATATTTCATTCAAATTTTACTAAAGATGAATGTACGAAAAAACCACGAGTGGTCCATGTTAGACTGGGCTCACCAATCGTGTGAAGTCATTAGCCTTTGTATAGTTATTGTAAATGCACTTTTTTCAAAAGTAAATGAAATTTCATTGTTATTTTTTATTAAGGTAAACTTGCAATAATCTAATTAATAACAATACCTCTGAGCTGCTGCATGACTATCTAGATATACCTATATAGTTATTCGAAAACTTACCCTGAATATAAACTTACCCCATTTAGAGTCAATTTAGAGTCACTTGATTTGTCTCGTAGATACCTCATTAATTTTCTAAAGCAGTTACTTGTTTATGTCTCGATAACTGCATAAAATGTATAGAAAATATGTTCTCTTAAATTTATATACGTGACTGTGATTCGATATCTTACGTACAACGACTGCGTACGTTTATGTAACTCACGTCTTTAACTATTGTTTGGGTCACTGGAGTCACGTACGCTCAGCGTGGTGCGTGTAAAGCCATTGTGCAAAACTGGCGTCTGGAACAGAACGTATTTCGTTGACAAGCAGCCATGTCTCAAATAACTTCAATTGTTCTTTTATAAAATCACAGCCACCTTTCTATTAGATTGCTGGTAATTCGTTAAGCGTTGTTTATATTTAGTAAAAGAACGCAAAAAAATCTAGCGTATTATATAATTAATATTCATTATAATTAATATTCAATATTCATTATATATTATAATTAATATATAATGAATGGTATATAATGTTATATATATATATAATATATATATATATATATATATATAACATTATTCATTCAATATATTATAATTAATATTCAATTAATATTAATAATTAATATTAATTAATCAATATAAGTAAAAAATTCATAAATATTTATTTATTAATGGGGACCGAATGTCATTCCATTGTTTGCAGTCGTTATTGAGATTTTATGGTGTCCTATCAAGTAATACCATCATACCGCCACAAAATTTTGTTTCGGCGCATGATGTTAGATTTCGAGTAGATAGTTTTTTTTTAAATGGATATGGTTTTTTTTCCTTTTTTTGAGATTCAAAACGAGCATCTAGGTACGATCATAGTAATTAAGCGTAGTCTCATATAATAGACCTACTAACGATCAGAAATTGCAACTTTTGAAACATGAAGTAACGTCAATATAAACTCAAATTACGTAAGTTTTTCTCATTAAAAAGTACAGTCAATGATAGCCCCCTTTAGACATTTGCCTGCTGCGTAAAAATTTTCCCTCGAGTTTCGATCTACTGTACATTTGCGGTATTTCTTGCCACGAGACATTCAATTGAGTGCAATTGAATGTCTTGCCTATCGCAATCTTAATTTCTTCCATCGCTACTTCTTGCGCAAGACAGAGATTGTCTTGAGCAAATTCTCGATGCGAAAAAGTTTACATTGTTCTAAGTTTATTCATAGCTCACCAAATAATAACTGAGGTTTTATTGAGAAATTCGATCAATGTAATCGTGGAGCATTAAAGTTTTTAATTCATGACGGATTCTGGTATAAGGTACATGCCGAAATTAAAAATAAGTAAACTTCTTAATTAACTTAACTCACTTCTTTTTCAAATTATACAACTAATTTTGCTACCATATAAAATTTATTTGCTCAAAATATAATGAAGCTTTTCATTCTATTCATTTGAAGCTTGAATCCATGTTTTTCATGCTCTTGAAAAGTACAAAAAACATTTAAGCTGAATTCATTTAATTAACAAGAATCAATTAAGGACTTTTTATACCCACGCTCCGTCCCCAATTATCAGCCCCTTTTGACTGCAAAAATCAAAAAAATAATTGTTGGACTTTCTGGGAAGTTTGGCTCACGGATATTTTATTTGCCTGAAATCAGAACGTCAGCATCTCAAATAATAATAATAATATTAATAATAATAATATTAATATTAATAATAATAATAATAATAATAATAATAATAATAATAATAATAATAATAATAATCATAACGTCAGCATCTGAAACTGGGAAATAAGATGTATTTTTTTTCTCTGTCTGTATATTAATTACAAGTAGACATATTCCTCAGAGCTCATAATGTTTAAATATATAATTCGCTGGATAAAAATTCAAAACCATAATAACTGAGATTAGACGTGAAAAAATATTTAAAAGTGAGTTTAAAAGGAGTTCGAAACGCATTGCGGTGGAATTAAGAAGTAAGGTGGCTAAAATGAACAACTAAGTCTATGTGATTTTACATGAGATGAAAAACCAAACTGTCTTGCACTTCAATTCGCGGTGTAGAATTTCTCCCGCCATATATCTCAAATTCTACAGTTGGATACGCAGTAAAGGTTTCTCATTCAAATGAACGCCTGAAGTGCTGTGACCTGTTTGGCCCCACATAAAAATGCATAAATAATCAGTCTTTAATTATTGTTCAGTTGCATATTTTAGGTCACAGCCCATTAATTTGTACGAAGTTTAACCGACTAGCACGTCCGTAGCTGGCGTGACATTGCAGCTGCTCAGCTAAGTGACACTAGAGCTGCTTTGAGCAGTAATGGTTTAGGTGACCTTCCTGAAACGCATAATAAATGATCTTGCCATCCTCACCGCTTCCTAAAGCCACCGGAAGAAAGAAAGGAACCTTAATTATCTGTGTGCTGGTGCGAGTCCATTTGCATTAAAGGTAATGTAGAGAATGAACTTGGAGCAGCCGACAAGGTTTACTGTTTTCTGCAATTCTCTCATAAATTTAATGATTAGAATATGAGGGAGTCACCTGAACTCACAACACGAATTCAAGAAGCACGATTGAACTCAGAACGTAATCATTTCACGTATCAATATTACAATAATATTCATTTTGCGTATCAATAACATAATGGAGCCCAGCTCCATGAATGATCGTTTATCAAGAGCTCGATCATGAAATCGTTTTTAACCCAACAATATTAATCGAATGTAATTTTATAAAAATGCATCTTTTCCGTAAAATGCTGATCCAACTGTTGTAAACAGGCAACGGAATTGGTTTGTTTTGGCGACGACATTCAAAATTCTAAATTGACCGTAAGTCGCATGTGCAATGCAAGTTAGTGTTTCAACACATGTTGCCGAACGTTTGTTAAAGTGACAAGGCTGTACATGAATACCTGACATAAAATTGCCATGCACGCTAATACACGTTACGAAAATGAAACCTATTGCTTGGCACGAACCACGATCAGCGGTCGATTGAGAATTTGAGCCATGTCACGTTCAGAAAAAAAGAAAATGTATCAGTGACACAATAATTGTCGCAGGTCATTGTTCCCCCAAACCTCAGGCCAAGAAAACTAAATAATGCAACGAGGCGTGAAAACCAAAGCGTGTGTCCCTTCAAGCGTCTCAGGACGATGCATTGTACTTACGGAATGAAAACAGATATTGAACGAACTCACGCTCAATGAAAGAGAGAAATTTGTTGGCAAAATTCAAAAATACAGTTCATACTTCAGTATCAATTTGAGGCTTATTCGAAATCCTGAAATATCAACGGGAATAATATCGTTGGGCCAATTTGGGGTTAGATTAAAATATAAAAGTAGCAATGAATACGCTGGCTCTCTTGCACAACTGTGGTTAATAAATGGAAATTTCATGAATTTGCGCAACTTGATACGCAAAACATACAAAGATCGGGTATCCACAGTTTGACGCAAGCTGTGAACCTTACGTGGTGTTTATTTCAAGAATGTGTTGGAAACTGAAGCTCTGAAGTGAATTAAAAGTTTAGTCTTTGTGATCTTAGTTATTAGGTCCCTGAAGGGTTACTAGAATTTGAAACAAGAACCAACACCAGGGGCCACGGCTATAAGCTAAAAAAAACTGCGCTGCAACTTCTCCACGCGACAAAATTTCTTCTCGCTTCGAATCACCGACATGTGGAACAGCCTTCCCGATGACATCGTTGGCGCTCCAAGTATGAACGCGTTCAAGAACAGACTAGATAAAGCTATGGAAAAATATATGTTCAGATTTGAAATGCCTAGCTCCTTATCAAACCCGGTGGAAGTCTAGTAGCTACTTCAAACTATCGTCAGTCATTAAAAGATCCGGTCAAATGACACGAGTTTAGATCTATGAACAAGGCACGAAAAGGAAAAGAATCTGTGACAGGCCACATCAGGCCTACACTTCAGCGCCGACATCACTATGTTATGTTATTATCAGATAACTAAAGAGCAAGCAAACACCCTCATATTAACCTAACAGCTTTAATTTAAGCTTATGACATTGGTGATTCATTAAATGTTGAGATTAAGCGTTGAATTATTCGAAGTTTAAGTTTGAGTTTCGCTTTCTCGCGCGATCGAGCCTGCAAAGCAGCATCGAACATGCATTTCTGCGAACACTTCTTACGTTGCACGCAACCGTTGGCTGACTTCAAACGCTCCGTAAAGCACGCCGCCTAGCGACGTATTGTTTTAAGTAAAACGAGAAAGAAAGAAAATGCGTTCTCTGCCTCAGTTTGAATGCTTCTGAGACGAGAGACGGTGAGGATTGCTTAACATTTGTTTCTCGGGTTCTCAAATGGGAACGAAAGTACATGTTTTCGGAAGGACCTCGATATAATCATTTCAGCCCAGCATATTCTATTAGAGTTTGTCAATTCTTCCATTTAAAATCTCTTCGTTTGTTTCAACAATTTACAATCCGTCTGTTTATTTAATATTTATTTAGTGCTGATATGTTTGCACGAATGTAGTCCCACGATCATTCGGTTGCAATGTCTCCTTTTATATGTCATAGTAATTGCAGTAAATCATTTTATCTGGATCTTCGATGTGTCAATTTCTATATTAATTCGAGCAATCTCATCATACAATCGTCAATCGATTCATTTACACTCTTAAAAAATGTTTATCACGTTATTTCTTCGAGTAAAACTGAAAGTTCGTTAAAAATTGTTGTTCAGTCTGGCAAATAATTCGAAATTAATTGGTCATGTTCAGTTTAAAAAGTGCATTCAATTTAACGTTGAATTATCTACGATTTTTTTCTTCTTAGCATCGAAGAAGTGGCTTCAATTGTTATAAATCATTGACGAATGGAAGTAGTTTAGGTAACTTCGATGATATTTTTCACGTTTTTTTAAGTTTTACTTCAGATTTTGATGCTGAACTTATCTACTAGTTTTCCAAAACTATATTTATCACACTAAATGTGTGCTAATTAAGCTACTTCGAAAAATTGTATATAAAGGATTTTGGATAAATAAATTTTCCACACTGCCTAATGTAGGCGCTTGATTACGAAGACGCTATTCAATCACGTCTTTACTTGTTTCCAATACTCAAGATTTACTACTACCCTTGCTCGTTCTTGGCTGGTTCAGTTACACAATTCGAGTTCTGATAACACCTGTCACTCCAGACATTTACTTTTTTTGTCGCTTCTGTTTTTGGTACTTGCTTTATGCCTTTTAATAAAATAGTTATATTATTATAATATTTATTAAGTTTTAAAAAAATATTCTGAATAATTATTCATATACGCGACTCAATTGAGTGGATTTCCAAATATCAGCTCCGGCGCCTCCATATATCGCTTTCCTCACCAGTTAATTATTCATTTAAGTGCATTTTTGTACATTCACCTTATAAAACAATTTTCATTTTCATCACCAGATGTCGATGCTGTGGCTTGTGGCTGTGGCGTTGGCTCAATCAGCCATCGCCATGTCAATGTTTCTGCTGCGCCTCCAGCAGCAGAGCCATGACCCGCTGGGGCCTCTGGCCGGGCTACGACCAGCCCGAGAGCGCCGGTCCATGAGTTTTGGTGGCTTCAGTGAGTTTGGTGAGTGAATGTGGTCTAAAATTACTACAAATAAATTATTTACAATATAATTTACTAAAATTTCACTGTGTATCAAACTGGGTATATGACGTTGAAATAACCTTGATTAGTAAAACGTTGTTTCAACGAAATCAACTCATAGATCAATGTTGTTTCTACTCGTTCGTCATTTGCTTCTATACCTAATAGATCAACCTTAATTAAATTTGTAGCAAGAAATGAGACGTGCTGATGTCAGACAGAAGCAAGCATCACGCTATATAAAAACGAAACCTTCAGTGATGGATTAGTACAATACAAATACGTACAATGCAATCAATAAACAACAAACGTAAATATTGGTTAACATACAAATAACAGACCTAACGATACCACAACTTTTAATATTGATGAACATCATAAATATTAACATACATTTTGCATTTTCAGAGCAAAATATATTTCTGCATCTCGCACCATTAGAAGAAATAAACTATAGATCCTATGAATGATTTTTAATCCGTTCTCATCCCACATTTGACATTAATACTCCAAACCACTACCGACGTGGCCGAACATACACAGGCGTAGGCTTGTCAAGTAAGCCGTCTAGTGGGGTATGACACATGACTTGCTTACGTAAAGTATGCGCATGAATTGAAAAGAACCTATTGTACGGCGAGTTTGGGTTACATTTGATCATTGACTTGGTCTTTTCATGCACAGTTTCATTCCAAATAAATTTACAATTTTCTTTTTTCATGGTTTCTCTTCCTGAGTATCGGAAACAATTACATCAAAATTGCCTTTCCCGGGTGGCTTCTGATGCTGAATTAATTTCTAAATATTTCCATGATATTTAATTTCCGTTGCGTTAAAAATATAAATTTTAGTTTTAAAGCTAAAATGAATTTTTTAAATAAAGTTTATGTATATTTGAGTTCAGTAAACCATTAATTGTTGAATCACTGCCAACGATTAAAAAATATTACTCAGTACTCACTGCAGTGAGTGACAGAGAGCGCATTTTCTCGTCGACGAAAACGTGAAGTCACGGACGGACTGACAGACAAACAGACAGACGTACGGACATGACGAGCACAATAGGGCATTTTTTCCATAAATGAGAAAATGCGCAAAAATGCTCCGTTAATCCAACATATATTTTAAATGATGTGTTCTAAATTTGATGTTCAGCGTCGGAATCTAAGTCATGGTTCCCGTGGCCGAGCTCCGGCAGCGGCTCTGGCAGCTCCTCCAATTATAAGTCCGACTTCTCGCCGCCGGACTTCGCTGCGTTCGGAGGTGGCATCAAGGGAGGCAGCCGGGGGGGCAAGAGTGGAGGAAAAGGCAGTGGTGAGTGAGATGAGTGAGGGAAAATGAGAGATGAGGAGAGAGGGGAAAGGCAGTGGTGAGTGAGATGAGTGAAGAATAATGAGAGATGAGGAGAGAGGGGAAAAGCAGTGGTGAGTGAGATGAGTGATGAATAATGAGAGATGAGGAGAGAGGGGAAAGGCAGTGGTGAGTAAGATGAGTGAGGAAAAATGAGAGATGAGGAGAGAGAGGAAAGCAGTGGTGAGTAAGATGAGTGATGAATAATGCATGATGAGGAGAGAGGGGAAAGGGCAGTGGTGAGTAAGATGAGTGAGGATTAATGCATGACGAGGAGAGAGGGGAAAGGGCAGTGGTGAGTGAGATGATTGAGTAAAAGTGAGAGATGAGGAGAGAAGGGAAAGGCAGTGGTGAGTATTCTGAGTGAGCAAAAATGTAAGTAGTAAGATGAGATAATTGGGCAAAAAATCGTGAAGCAGTGATGAGTATGGAAAATATTAACAGAAGCCAGATGGAGCAGCAGTTTGAATTCAAACGCTAACTTAAGAACATTTACCTTCCAAAACCTATGTTCAATATCTCAATCTGTTCCTCCCAATTTCGACAGTATCGGTTGTTCAAAGACTCTCGGATTCAGACACCATAGAAGAAAAAAAATTTCCTTTTACCGTCAATTAGTATTGATGAGTATTTACATAGAATGGGCATCATTTCATATGTTCAAAAACTACAATTTACATTAAGCGGTTCGATCGCTTGAAGTACCGCCGGTTAGTTGCAATTTCAGAGGCACGCTAAGTTTCAAAAGTTATCAAACGATGTAGGGGTTTATTTTATGTTCTCTTAATTACAGTTTTGCTTATTTGATATTCAGATATCTTTTTATGTTGTTTTTTAAATCTAAATATTGCATTCAATATTTTTTTACCCAAACATTTTTCGCTCATCGATTTTGAGTTTGCATAATGACAACTTCGTCCTCTTCTATCACGTACTTATCCTAATTATTAATTAAATAGCTGTTTAATTATAAATAACTTCATCCTGCACTCCGTTGCCCAGGCCGTGCGGAGGCAAGTCTCGGTCCAATTTTCATCACCAAAGTTGACGTCCCGGAATCGATGAGGAACAAATTCAACAGACCTGCTGAGACATCAACGGCCGCGCGCAGGGCCAAATACGGCCTCGACAGGGAGTTTTCGACGCCACCTCATGTCAGTCTTTGCTTCTCAGAATCCCTTAATTATATGTTTTAGGCTATCAATTGTTTGCATTCAAAATTTATATATCTTGTTATTCCCAGGCTTTACGCACGTTAATGACATAAAAATCTTTTGTGTCAGTTATTCAGCCTCATAAACCATTCAGGTCCTTAATCGTAAGCTATCTAAGGCATGTATAAGATTATCTGCCTTGCGAAAATAATCAGCCAGACAGTATCCCAAGACAATTCCTTTTACCCGCTCCTGTGTTTCTCATGTCTTGATCAATAATTTTTTAATAATAATTACCGATTTTATGTTATCAGGCGTATCGCATCGCTGAGGAAATCCCATTCTTCGACACCCTCGACCACAAGACAGTGATGCTGACGCTGCAGAACTTCCGGGCTGACAACGGAATACCGCTTGCACATCTACAGAGCATCAGGCCCTTCTTCCCTTTCTTTGTTAAGAACTAAATGCCTTTTGTAATTTTCACTGCGCTCTCTTCTTTTCCTCTGTCATGATTGATGTGTGTTGAATTTAGTTTCTTCCGAAATCTGCAACTTTTTTCTCATATATCATTGAATGATGTTTTTGATTTGGATATTGACTTGATTTGGAAGTCCATTTCATTATAATATAATTGGCAGTTTCTTACTTTTTCTGCTCTTTAAATTTATTTATCTAATTCCGTCGCCAGCTCTTTCGTTCAGAGTGGCTGCTAGCAATGACTTTAATTTATATTTTTCTACTTCCTCTTTTGAGATTCAAAATATTGAATCCATTCCCTGCAATAAATCTTCCTTCGTGAAGCGTGCATCAAATGAAGCGCGTCAAATTCCGCTGAATGAAAGTTGTTGATCAAAACCTGGCACTATTGTTCTTAAATCATATATTAAAAGCCTTTATTTTTAAGCCGGCAGAGCCAGACTAAACAAAGCTCGTAGGTTGTGACTCCGAAATTTCCCAATATATTTAGGTATTCGGATTATATCTTATAAAAATTCCATCAAAGCTATAGTCAGACAAGTACCTTCCGTTACCTTGATAACGACGGTTAATTAATTGATAAAAACTTAAAAACCTGCAAAATGAGAACAGAAAATATTGTGAACTGAGATAATTTCCTGAAGCTACATAAAAAGAAGATTGTGTATTGCTGGAAGCGGAAAATTCTATTTAACTGATATTTTGCCAACCGAAATTTTCATTGGACGTGAAAACAATCTGAAAATCTTCATCATAATAAACTGAATTTAATTCTTTTATTACTTTCCTTTAGTCCGTCACGAATTCAATTTGAAGAGGCCGAGGTCAGAATAATCTCCTTTGGTGGAGCTTTTATTCCAAAATCTAAAACCAAAAATAAACAGTTAACAGTTTTAATACTTCAAAGCTATACTAAATATCCTACCAATATTATCGCTTAGGTCACGATTTTCATTTGATCGGAATTTATCGAATAAATAAGAGAAAGCTCACCTCTGATGAGGTATAGATTAAGTTTAACGGGAATGTAATCCTAACTAAGTAGTAACAAGAGTATGCATAATTTGAGTTACAGAAATGCTAGAAAAAATAATAATAAGTTGCTTGATTACCAAGATTGTCCTGACAAAAATGTTGATCCCCAAATTCTAAATGAAAGGTTGTTGAATTTCATGAAGCTGAAATGATAAATTTGAAGTCTATTGCAAGGAATCAGTAGCACAGGCTACTCGTCCATTACTAAGCGACATTAAAAATTTATAACAAACATGACCTTAACTTGCCTCTGGGCACCAAAAATTATTGTTACTGTATACAACAAACAAAATTTTTTTATTTAATAAAATTACATCCCCACATTCATGAACCTTCATGCAAACTTATCGTAAACGAAATTTAAAGGTTCACCATGACCATCACGAACGAGTGTGGTTGAAAATTTTTTGACCTGACCGTAAGGGTAAATAGTAACATTCATTTTATACATTGAATATTTTCATGCCTCTCGCTTCCCGAAACAGTAAGGTAAGGAACAAACATGGGATGTGAAGTGCGATTTTATTCAGTAAATCGGACCATGAAAGGATCATATTAAGAAGTTCCTTGCGCGCTAAAATTAGAAAATGGAGTTCATATGAATGATACATTTTCAAAAATTACTGAGAAACGAAGCAATATGAGTAACATTTAAGATTATCCATGAACGTCATATTGTGACATGGCAGACCAAATTAATTCACCCATTGCCGATGGTTGAGCTCGCATTCCTTACTGTGGCTTGCTTTTAATTTCAGCAGACCATCACATTTTGCGAAAATAATTATCGATTCGATGTAATGTCAATTGATTGAAACACCTGCAGCGACATGGAACGCATCAGGGTAATTTTTGTTGTTCCTATCTTAATAGACGAATTATAATTTTTTATTATTTCATCAAGGGAAACATATGACAAAATTACCGGCCTTTTTCTGGCTCATTTATGCAAACAATACAATTTTTGGCATGTGATCAATCGTTAGGACGATACAGAATTGCGTAATATTCATTCCCTATAAATTTCCCTTGTGTTACCTATAAATTCTTGCGTTATCATTACAACACCGAAAGTGCAGGAGGGGTGAAGCTGTCAGAAAGAGTCAAGTACTAAACCTAAAATCCACAACGAAAGCAACATCAATGCTCCAAAATTTTCGTTTAATTGAGAATTCTTTGTCTCTTCAAAAATGTGAAAACTGCTGAGTTTTAATTGATTATCTATGTTAAAGTTAGTAATACAGCAAAATTTTACTCGAATTTCATCTCCGTCATAGCTTTCCTAATCCTTCATTGCTGCGGCACACGATTTATATCATAGAATTAATTTTGCAATACAATGCATGCCAAATATATTGCGTAGCCCAAGCAACTAACCAAGATAATGAAAATTATTTTGGCATTAAAGCTCTCACAAATACACGTTCTCTGATGATGTAGGACTGCGATCAACATTTGTGCTGTAGTTTTATGTGAATAAATCTACATGAAACTCTGGAACAAAATTCCGTCTTCCTTTACTTCGTCATTCAAATCTGGCAGCGTTTCAGTACGGCATTATTTAAGCAATATGTATAGAAAAGAACAACTGGGAATACATTCTGATCTATTGTTTATTCGTTTAAATACGATTGTTGTGATTGTTTTCAGGCACTGAGTACAAAACCACCATTTCATAAATGGAGTTTTTGTAAATTCACTGGTTAAATTATTCAGTCAAAAACAGCAGCAATTGAATATGTGAAATAATCACCATTCATGGCTCATTCTAACGTATCACCATATTGCTTTCAGGCACCGACCACTTCCCTAGATTCTAGTAATTGAGAGTAAACTAAAAATAAAAACCTATGAATACTGCATTGTTATTAAACGATGTTGTCAATATACTCAAGGAAATTCCCCAGAGGAGCATCATAACCGTTACCTTAAGTGAATCGTGACAGAATTCCATGTAACATAGTTGATCTCTAGCTGAATTTAATTGAGAACTGGGATGGTCATGACTTCTTTTTCTTACTCAAACCTCAGTGCGATTTATTTTGAAAGATTCTGTGTTCTTTTCTCAGACATTTAACAGAAAATTCTATGAGATCTGAATAGGTTTTTTCGCTACCTTGTTCTCGCTGGTCTTGGCGGGTGAAAAACTGTGACATTTTAAATTATATAAAATGCTACAAGTACTGGCGTAAGCAAGCGTACGAACTCGTCACTAAACATCTACTTACATTCTAACGCCAACATTCCTGTTCATTCTTCAATTTAATTTTAAAAATATAACTCTGATCTAAAAAAGTATGTTTTTCCATTAACGCTAAGCATTTTCTCCAAAAATATACTTTTGAAAACATTCACGCTGTTGAAAAAACACTTTTTATACGATATCGCTTTACTTTTTTGCAGAAATTACCGTCACTTTTGCAAGGCCAAAATATTCAGGGTGAATCACTGAAACTTCCTGTTTTGTGTTCGGGCCAAGCAGCCAGATGTTTTAGAAAAGGGATGATACCACTTCACATGAAAGGCAAAGTCATGAAGTTTTGTGTCCCGCCTAGTCAGTTGTCATTATGCCTTGGACAAGTGAACAGCGTGCGTTTGCTGTCGAGGCATACTTTTCTAATGGCTATTCCATTATGGCTACTCGGGAATCGATTGTTATCGTGTTGTTGATTTACACTGAATCTGGATTTGACACTTTGTTCCAAACAAAAGTTTTTCATACTTTTTTCAATCACATGGTTTCATTTAATCATATTCGATGGAATGCGTTCGAGTATAATATATTAGACTCTAGCATGGCTGCTGTTGTCGTCGCTGCGCTTGTGGGCGACGTTCTCGTCCTGGTAGCCCTCCAGCCAGTAGGTGCTCATCGTGCCTTTGCCCTGACCACAACAAATTTTATATCAAAATTTTTCGAATGGAAATGAAATTAGTGTCAACATGCTTCTCTATATTAACGATAGTTGAGTTTTCTAATTACACTATTGATTAATTTGATTACATTTTTATTTATTATCTGGAAAACACTTAGCATTTACTGCGCCCTGACAACCAAGTGATTAATTTACAATAAAAATTAAAAATGTAGAAGTCATTTGTTAAGCTTAAAAATGCCGAGCTCATACTTAAGAAGATGCAACCTCCATGCATTCTTGTGTTTTTATTGTAACTGATTACTGCTTTTAAAATTGGCCGAGCTAAAGGGACAAATCTTCGCGTAGAGAATTAAATTTTATGTTACACACAAAAACTACAAATTTATTCTGAAAAAATAGAGAAGCATGTGTTAACTCCAATACTAATTATTTCAAACCTTTAGAAATTCTAACATTCTACTTAATCATTTTATTCTTTTTAATTTAAATTAAAAATGCTGAGTTTTTAGCGTGAACTAGGGACATTCCCTGCCAAAAAAATGAGGCAATATTGTACTCCGTTTCATGCTCTGCATCTATAAATCGGGTCAATTGCCCGCCTGAGTGACGACTCGCCTTTCATAAACGTTCAAATCGAGGAGAATTCCGAACTCTTAGCATTTCAGCTTTTTAACTTTTTTATACATTTGGGTTTGTTCGCCAATAGTTAGAACAATTCCCGGCACTATAATTTTGTTGGAATTTTAATTTGAACTGATTCCAGTGATTTCAGTAACGCAAATACAATAAAGGGCGAATAGCTCTTCATTCCTAATAGCCCTTTATTCTTAATAGCCCTTTAACTGATTGATTGATGATAACTGAACAAGAACCAACACCAGGGGCCACGGCTATAAACTAAAAAAACTGCGCTGCAACTTCTCCGCGCGGCAACATTTCTTCTCGCTTCGAATAACCGACATGTGGAACAGCCTCCCCGATTACATCGTTGGCGCTCCAAGTATGAACGCTTTCAAGAACAGACTAGATAATGCTTTGTAAAATAAATGTTCAGATTTGACTGCTCCTTATCGGACCCGGTAACAGTCTAGTAGCTACTTTAAACTATCGTCAGTCATGAAAAGATCCGGTCAAATGACACGATTTTAGATCTCCTGTGAACAAGGCACGAAAAGGAAAAGAATCGGCGACAGGCCACATCAGCTGGCCTGCACTTCAGCGCCGACATCGCTAATGTTAATGTTATGTTAACTCCATTATTTTCTAACTTACCTTGATAGGCAGGGTGCCTCGATGCCGCGTTCTAAATCCCAGCGCCTCGACGGCTTTGGCGTAGCGCTCCGTCACGTGCACACGTCCGAACTAGAAATTAGTCGTCAGTCAAAGATCAAATTTTCAGAAATATCAAGTATATCGTTAATTAACCTTATTAACTGATCACCACTCACTTCTGACGGAGATGGTGTGTTGAGCTGGCTTCAAATCAAAACTCATTTTTGCCAGAGATGTCTAAAGATGGTGTGTTAAACTGACTTCTAATCACCACTTGCTTCTGCCAGAGATGGTGCGTTGAACTGTTCTTATCCACAAGCAATTACTACAAGAGATGTTGTGTTTAACTGGCTTCTAATCGCCACTCATTATGGCCAGAGATGGTGTGTTGAACTAACTGCCAATCACAGATTATTTCTGCCAGAGACGTTGAATTTAATTGACTTCTACAGAGTGAGTGATGTTCTTGAATATTATGTTCAGAAGATCCAAAGTTTTGAGTCGTTTGTAGATTCTTTCTCGAATAAATGAGTGATTTTTTCGAACACGAAACCAAAATAAACATAAGGCACTAATCTAATTTGTGTGAAAAAAAATCTATCGTATTGGTAATGATTAATAAAAATCTCTGAAACCAAATGTAGGAGTTTTCCTAAGTCAGTTCTAACCAATAAAGGCATTCTTTTATCTTTTACTTACCTTTATATAAAAAACAAGGAGATGTAGTAAATAAAAAATCATAACATTCAGCGATGCGTCCTTCTATTTTCACGCGATTATATTAATTCAACAAATTAAGTCTTGTAAATCATCTGCATTATATTGTTAATGAACTTTGTGGTTCTACTACATTATCATATTAGAACAATTTTCTTTTAATAAATAGAATGCGTCAAAATCTATGGGTGTCATAAATACTAAATTCATCTTTTTTGTTAGCGGCATTGCCAGGCGAAAATAAAATGGGTTTACTATTGTACGAGCTAGTAGACCCGATCAGTACCTGTAGATCAGGTCGGAGTCAACAGCTCCTAAATTAATAAGTTTCTCCCCGATATCTAAAAACGGAATGCAAGCTAGCTTCCATTGAATTTTTTTGGAAAACAAAATAAAAGCATTTTTAATCGCTGATATTTGTTGATATTTGATATTTGTTAGCTTCACGCACGTGGCAATTAGTGAGCATCCTGGATGCCGTGTTGACGGTGTCGCCGAAGAGGCAGTACCGCGGCAGACGGTTCCCCACCACACCCGCCACTACAGGGCCTACGTGGATACCTGCGGTGGGCAATAGGGTGTAGTAATTAACTATTTCTTTATGGAAATTGGATGCATTTCTCTTTGGAATATGCTAAAATTCCTCATATTATATGAAACTCGTAAATGCGATCGCTAAAGCTGTTTATTTTTTCACGTGTTCTTAAAGCGGTTACATAGTGTGACAGCCCAGGTGAAGTTGTGCAGTTGAGTAACCCGTCAATTTTGCATTGTGTGTCCCAGTTGGACGGTTTTAACTAATTATATTTATCTGAACCAACCTAAGTGGACCAACCAATTAAAACTACATTAATTGCGATAACCAAGTTATCTTAGCTTCTGCAGCTAAAATAGATTGCTGAAACCCATCCGTAATTTGCAGTTCTCTGTAACTCCTACACCTCCTATATATGGACAATCTTATCTACCCTCCAGGGGTGTTGTAGAACACTTGTAGTCCATTAATTTTGTTACAGGCATCTAAAATATTCTAACCTTACTAGGCTGTTGTGGCCACAGAATCTAACATAGGTCACTCAATAGCGCACCCTGACTGCATCAGCTTTCACCTATTGACTGCGTCACGTATAAACCTATTTAAAGGGAATTGAAATAGGCATGTTTCCCATTTCCGTGAGATTGAAATAGGTAGATTATACATAAGCAAACTATTCGGCCGCAGCGGCCCACCTATTCGGATGTTATGGGTTCTCCTGAAGTTGTCGTTGACGGCGCGGGTCATATGGAGCGCCAGAGCGGCCACGTGGGCTGTGTGGTCAGCTAAGGGCTCCGGCACACCACCCACCACCATGTACACACCACCCACCGTCTCCACCTGCAGCGGTGATTGGAACAAAAGCGCGGTATTCACATTACTTTAATCAGATCATATCAAATACCACAAACCCACCTCTACTATTGTAAATCAGCCCTATGTAATATTGAAACATTATGTAGGAATAACTTTGACGTTGGCGATTATGAATGATTTTTTAGACGGGTACTAGCAAATGGCTCACAGGCCTGAGCTAAACAGTGATTAAAATATGGACCTTAAAAAAGTGAATCTGTACGCTTAGGCATTTTTGGACTCAAGCGATCGGTGAGTTCGTCCAACAAGCCACACAACACGTCACAATATTCAACACAATACGACACAACATTCAACACAACACGTCACTGCATTCAACACTACTAGTAACACAGCACGTCACCACACCTCACCTTAAAGACGCTGTATCGGTCAGTGAGGTCATCCAACAAGTTGTACATCTCGTTGACGGACCGCACGATCTCGAGGGCCTCGAGGCTCTTGCGCTCCTCCAGCAACGACGCCTCGGCGAACAACACCGAGACTTCCTCGAACGACTGAGGGCCAAAAAGTTATTATCCCTACGGCCTCGAACGACTTAAGGCAACCAATTCATTATCTTTATGAGAACGACCGACTGAAGGCGACATAGTTTTCATCGTTGTTATCTCGAATGACTGAAGGCGACAAAGTCGTTATCGTTATGACCTAAAATGACTGAGTGCAAAAAATTCGTTTTTGTTATGACCTCGAACGACTTCGGGTGATAAAGTCTTTATCGTTATGACCTAAAATGACTGAGGGTGGCAAAGTTGTTCTTGTAATAACCTGAAACGACTGAGGACAACAATGTCGTTTTCGAGACAGCAAAAGCCTGCCGGCAACAATTTCATTATTGTTATGATTTTTTCATAATTCTTAGACGGATATGTTCTGGGATTATTTACGTTCTAAATTAAATCTTCTTTGCCGACTTCGGTTTGTATGAAGAGCGTTTGTTTATAGAATATGCAAAAATGCATGTCAAAACCCACTAATATATTTTTCGAAATAATTTTACCCGGGATTATTTAAAAGGTATTTCATTCTTAATTTTTTTATAGAGTTTTTTCATTGCTATTTTGAAAAGCATCGTGATAGAGGAAAATTTTTTATAGTAACTTTGTAAATCGTTCAACTACTTGAAATTAATCTTCAAAATCCAGTCGAACTCCATTTATTTTTCTACCCTGAAGCCACGAAAGTCATTTGTGTCGATAAGTTCAGTCATTTTTCGCCTCGCTCATTACACACTTTGTTTGGTACGTAAAAAATGAACAAATCTTATCAGCAGTTACTGATATTACGTTAAGTTTGTTCTATTATAATGGATTTCCGCGAATTATTTTTCTTAGTTTAAACTACTATTCGTTATTATGCATGCATTGAAAACTGAAACATTATTTTCTTTATATTATGCCATGGCCTTTCCAAAAACTTTTTTGACTAAAAGCACCAGATTAGATTTTCTTGCCTTCGTGAAATATAAATTCCCTTCAGAAAAACTTTTGTGAAATCACGGAAAATTGCTATCTACATCATTAGAGCATATATTCTCATAGTTCTTCCGAACATCAGTCACATTCTTCAAACTTTTAGCCATGTCATTTATTAATAGAAATATATTTGTGACTACCATCAAGTTAATCGCCCATCGATAGCATTGAAAACCATAGATGTATAAGGCACCCCGGTTTAGAAGTATTCTCCCTGTGTGTTAGTTAAGAATTCCCCCGTCTGATTACCCAACTTTCAGGTGCCTTATAGTGGCATGAGTGACGCAGCTGACAGGTCTCCAGAAGGTGCTGCCCCTGGCACAATGGCCGGCCACTTGCCCAGGCAATAGCACCTAGCATGATTTACGCACTTGAAAGGTCTCCAGAAGATCCCTAGTAACAATTCTACAATAGGCCCATGGGAGGCTCATATGCGACAATGTGGAAATGAGGTGGCATTATGGTTTAAATATATGGGGCCAACATTGCTGCTATCTTACTCTGAGTCTGCATGACATTGTCATGTGGCTCCAACACTGTATGCTGCCTCTGCCGCAATGGCCAGTCACCTGCCTGAGCAGCATGACAGGTGCCTCTAGCATGAGTTACGCACCTGACAGGTCTCCAATGGGTGCTGCCCTTGCCGCAACAGGTCGGCCACCTGCCTGGGCAGCATGGCATACAGGAGGTTGTCGCCGCGCTCCTTCCATTGCTCCCGGAGGTTCAAAGTCTCCTCAAGTTTGGCGGAATTTTCTTCCGCTCGATTGTACATCAACTCGATGCTGTCGTTGGGGAATTTAATGCTATCAATAACGCTCACAAAATAAAATGAAATTTTAAATCAGCAAATAAACTCATTTTAACGCGGCATCAATCAATGCATGAACCATTTCGTATTTTTTTCATTATGATCACTAAAAAATGGAACGAGCTATTCTCCAAAAAAAGTTCATTACCACTATTCGATTATAATAATGTTTTCTCGTAACCACGCGAATGTAGTCAATGGAATGCGGCAAAGACTTGTGTTTAATAAGCTCTGCTCAATCTTTTAATCAAACGTTTTGTTATCAATATTGAGTATGCAGTCAACATGAATTCAAAGGACCAGGAATCGTGTTAATAACATCTGCTTCATGAAGTTCGTCGAGAATATGTGTTTTTCATTGTAATGCGGGCCTCTGTCATTGACATGCGTGCGTTCGCTATTGGCTTGCGCGCTTTTGCCATTGGTAAGCGTGTGTTTGCCGTTGAAATTCACGTGTTCGCTATTGGTACACGTGTGTTTGCCGCTGAAATGCAAGTGTTCGCTATTGGTATGCTTGTGTTTGCCGTTGAAATGCAAGTGTTCGCTATTGGTATGCTTGTGTTTGCCGTTGAAATGCAAATGTTCGCTATTGGTATGCTTGTGTTTGCCGTTGAAATGCACGTGTTCGCTATTGGTATGCGTGTGTTTGCCGTTGAAATGCACGTGTTCGCTATTGGTAAGCTTGTGTTTGCCGTTGAAATGCAAGTGTTCGCTATTGGTATGCTTGTGTTTGCCGTTGAAATGCACGTGTTCGCTATTGGTATGCGTGTGTTTGCCGTGGAAATGCACGTGTTCGCTATTGGTATGCGTGTGTTTGCCGTTGAAATGCAAGTGTTCGCTATTGGTATGCGCGTGTTTGCCGTTGAAATGTGCGTGTCAACCATATTGGTATGCGCGTGTTTGCCATTGTAATGCACGTGTTCGCTATTGGCATGCGCGTGTTTGACATTGGCAAGCGTGTGCACATGCTTGCTACTAACATACGCATGTTCGCTATTGGCACGCGCGTGTTTGTCATTGGCTTGTAAATGTTCGCTTTTGGCATGCGCGTGTACTCGCTATTGGCATGCGAATGGTTCCTTATTGGCATGCGTGTGTTCGCTACTGGAATGCATGTGTTTGCTATTGGAAGACTTGCGTTTGCCATTAATTAGCATGCTTTTGATATCGGTTAGCGAGAATTCACTGTAGTACGCAAGTGCTTGCTTTTCAGATGAACTTTACATGCTCATGTCGATCCAATACGCGCAATGATGTCGTGGGCAATAATTATTCATCATGATTATTCTGCGCTTATATTATATACAGACTTGCTCATAAAATAAAATAACTAATAACTTAATAACGCACTTAACTTCGATGATTAAAAATGGGTATATTAATTCTGAAATGCCACCATGATTAGCGGAAGTACATGGATGAGCATGCATCGCATTCATTTTACAGATATTTTTTATGCAAATATTATTGGAATTGAACACAGAAAGATTTGAACTGTGTTGACAAAAATGGTATACAAAATTGCGGACTTCCAAAAAATAAGTATTTTCAAATAAAATAAAATAAGAAACTTCAAAATAATTTCCCTTGCGTGATAATATAAAAAAAAATTTCTATCTCGAAGTCAGAAACATTTCCATTCATTTAAACTATTCAGTTTGAACGCATCGACTGTTGTAGTAAGGCTTCAGTCATTTCACAAATGAAGACATAAAAACTTTCAATAATTTCATTGAAAATCGAGCTGCAAAAACTTCTCTTGAAAATTAATAGTGAGTGTAAACAAGTGGAACGTTTTCAAACGTTGACTGCCTTTTATCCTCTGCTTCCGGCAGTTTTAATTAAAAAAATCGTATTTGTGCACCGCCGTAACCGTAAAAACCGTAAAAACTGCCACGCCGTATTCGTTTAATAACAAGATCCTAGACGCTCCGGACGCACAGGCGCGATAACAGAAAATATTCGTGGCCAATAATTGCACTTAGCAACATTGTGGCACTTTGAAAAACGTTAATTGTGGCATCATGTTCTGAATTAAATCACTTTTTGCCAATAGTTGTGTTTAGTGGCATCATTTCTGGTGATGCCTTTGGGAGAATCGGTTGAAGTGAACATTTTATAGAGAGTTAAGCGCTCTCACTGATAACAATTTCCATGTGTTTTTTTACTTCTGTTCTGATAGATCAGTATTTATACACGCTGAAAAGAATATGATTATTGTTAATTTGTGTTAGTAAACCAACTTTCATGGCATCAACTGATATGCAACTTTCCCACTTTACTTTATGCAGATTGATACTTTTTCATTGTAATTCAGAATTCTCGAATTCGAGTAACTCGTCGTTTTTTCACATAATGTAATGAAGAACTTTAACCAATTTCTTTCTTAATTCGGGATAGTTTTTCAAAATAAGGAATTGGCCCATTAACTTTCAGTAGAATAAGGAATTGTTTCGGCGTTATGTTTGAATAAACATTCATTTCATCCCTAAAAGCATTTCATATTGAAAAGAAAATAAAGTATCTCACTTGGAACAATGTTGCCAGTCAGTGAGCGCCATTTCCCGACTGAGGTCGTGCATGCTGAGGTCGTTCAAATAAAGTCCCAAGTCCCGCATTTCCTGCTGGTTGTTGATCCTGCAAGGTAAAGAAGATGCAAAATAGGTTGCGGCTAAAATTTCTATATAAAAATATTATAAAGCCGCCTAAATATTATAAAGACTTCCAAGACATTGTTTTCTTTCTCTATGTGTGAGATCGCGGTAACGCTCTATGATCGACTTGTTTCATGGGAATGTTTTATAAGCCGTATCTCAGTGGTGAAAGTTAGCCTTGCTGCCGAAGCTTCAGCACAGACAGTTAACATTGATATTGTACATAACATGGCGATCTGATCCGTAATACACAAACTGTTGCCAATTACTATCTCAGGGTATCCCATTGTGCTTATTTCCTGGTGGCACTTCAGTTGGAAAATGTGATCGCGGTTAATATTACTGCGGAATAAGCGACTATAATTGGAAATACATGCATGGAAATGCAGCACCGGATAAAAAAGTCTCACTCGACGAAAACCCCTCGATTGAGCGTGAAGATAAATTTCACAATATCGGGTGTCGAGAGGATAATAACATCAGCAAGTGCGGCAATTAATTGGAGCGGTAAAGTCGAAAAAATAATAAGTTTGTAGGATATCTCGCACTCCGTCTTGTGTGTTGGGTGAGGCTCTCATGGCGAGAAGAAGTATAAGTTTCGGATAAAAGCTCTAAAATACAAATAAAAAGAAGTCAGTATAACAAGCCCCTTCGTAGATTTCTTCTAGCAGTAAATTATTTATTGTAACCTTTCTGGAGAAAATTAAAAACTTGGTATTACACGATAATCCGTCAATGAGATCATAATATCATTAATGGTAATAGGCCAGCCAGAGGTAGAGGGATCGTTGATGCATATACCATGGCAAACTTTCTAAACAACATTTACAAATAAAAAGAATGCCAAGTGACAAATAAAAGAAAATTAAAAATATATAACTCAGTACTCACTGCAGTGACTGACAGAGAACGCATTTTCTCGTCGACGAAAACGTGAAGTCACGGACGGACGGACGAACGGATATGACGAGCACAATAGCGCCTTTTTTCTATAAATGATAAAATGAACTAAAAAAGCGAAATACCCTAAATTCATTGAACCTAATTTATGACTAAAATATAACAAGAAAATGTTATGTTTACTGACAGCGGCATGCAGAGGAACATGGCCATCTGATGGTCCTTGAGGATGTACATTTGGCCCTTGAGCAGCAGTCCCTTCTCGCCCTCGTGGAGCTGTTGGTCGCTGGACAGACTCCTGTTCTTCTGGATCCACTCGGACCTGTGGGACCTGCGACGCTCCAGCGACACTTGAGACGCGTCTCTGGCACGATATCAATATACTATCAATATTTTACATCAATATAATATAATGTAAATCAATAATATACATCAATATACGGCGATTTCAATCAATTTTATTCAACTTTTTGAAGTTCGGTCTCACATTAGTGCGGAAAAGATGTGGAAGTGCAAAAAACGATGTGCACGAAATTCGAGACCTCTAATTGATTCCTTTACGATTTCAGGGTCGTTTTAAATTTTTAAAAATATAACTCAGTACTCACTGCAGTGAGTGACAGAGAGCGCATTTTCTCGTCGACGAAAACGTGGAGTCACGGACGGACAGACAGACGGACAGACGGACATGGCGAGCATAATAGTGCATTTGTTCCATAAATGAGAAAATGCGCTAAAAATATGAAAAATTAAGTAAATATCCAGTTAGCACTTTCAGGCCACAATGGGCAACGATTATCATAAAAATGGCTTTAGAATTTTCAAAGCTCTTATTCATCATTTTCGTCATTAGATAATCATATGTAAATTGTAAAATATGCGATTTTCATAAGATTTTTCAAAATATATGAATAAAAGTCTTGTAAGATTTAAGGGAAGACTTCATTTCTGCCTATTTGCTGTAAATTAGAGAAATTAGTATTAACCCTATTTTATTATATAGCATGAGCTTTGCTTATCAACTTTTCACTTCAAATAAATTGATCATCTCGACAAATCCGATAAGCACAGGTCATCCACTCAATAGCCACTCACAGCTCACTTTGCTGGCCACTCAACAGCCACTTACTGGCTGCGAACTGACCTCGCTGATTCAGCTCGTAAGCCACTCAGAGTTAGCTCGCTGACTACTCATAAACAACTAACAATTCAGTTCTATGGCCACTCATTTAAGCCGCTCACAGTTCAGCTCGCTGGCAACTCAATGCCGCTCACAGTCCAGGCCACTCATAAACCACTCATTGATAAGTTCAGGCTACTAATGTACCACTCATTGATCAGCTTGCTGGCCAGTCATAAGCCACTCGTTAATCAGCTCGCTGGCCTCGCAAAAGCCACTCAATGATTGGCTAGCTGGCCACTCACCCGTATGGTCACTAAAACAAATAAAAAGGCACTCACTATTGAGCTCTCAGACCACTCGTTAATCACACACAGTTCAGCTCGCTGGCCACTCGTAAGCCACTCACAGTTCAGCTCGCTGGCCACTCAGCTCTGCACTGAACGGACACGCCATGGCGGAGAGCGACCCGACGCTTTTACTAGATGCTCCAGCGAACCCTCCCGTGAACCCTGACGTCGGGGGCTTGGGGTTGCATGAGTACCCCGGGGCTAACGAGGCCCTAGAAGATGACATTCCTCCATGAACCCCATCAGGAGGGGTTGGAGTTGACAGGGGGGAGGTGCCGCTGGTGTGGCTGCTGTTGTTATTGTTTGCCTTGATCCTAGCGACGACCTCCCAGGCAACGCGGTCGTGCATCAGCACCTTCAGGTGCATCAAAAAGATGTAGTGTTTCAGCATCTGAAGTGCATCAGCACCTTCAGGTGCATCAAAAAAACTTAGTGTCTCAGCATCTAAAGTGCATCAGCACCTTCAGGTGCATCAAAAAGAGTTAGTGTCTCAGCATCTGAAGTGCATCAGCACCTTCAGGTGCATCAAAAAGACTTAGTGTCTCAGCATCTGAAGTGCATCAGCACCTTCAGGTGCATCAAAAAGACTTTAGAAACACTTCTCATCATATCAATTTTTCCTAAGATTTTAGGTTGACGTTTAAACATTTTTTATGTGACACGGGCTTTACTTATCTGCGTAACAGCAAATTTCATTTCTCAGAAACTCAACATTTTTTACAGCATTGCTCTCACTAACTTCTAGGTTCAAGAAGTATCACGAGATCGCTAAGTAAGAATTGCAGGCCTGCCTCACCAGATAAACTAGTTCCTTAACAACCACGCTGGTCACTAACGGACATGTCTGCCAGGCGCGACCATTGGCCCCCAAATTTATTAGGTCATTCCTGGCCGTGCTGTAGTGACCCAGTCAAAGATCAAAAATTGCTCGAGCCCAGTCAAAATTCCAGGGCTTTTAGCCTCAGCTTTAAGAGCGTGGAGAGGGTTATCGGTCGTCACGCGTGAATATATTCCATTTTATGCTCATAAAAAGATATAGTTGCAAGGTAGACAGCCATGAACGACCGTCAGCCAACCACGTTGGGCTTACCACGCATGATTCCGTTGCCAGCTCCCAGCTGTGATATTTATCTCCCACCTGCTGAAACACATATTCCTCCATGCGGACAACAAATTAATAAACATCAAAATTAACAAGCAAATTTTATGGCACGGACGTTCGCCTTCAGGACTTCGGGACGCACCTCCTTCCACGAGAATTGCATGACGGGTCGGCGGATGCTGAAGTGGTCCACAAATTCTGAGCCGATGAGCCCCGCGCCCAGTAGCTGATGTATGCGGTCACCCGCCAGTCGCACGCGCAGGTCAGCGTCCATCACAATGCCGCATGGGAACAGCTGCATCTGAGCCACATAAAGTGAGGAATATTAATACCGGCAGATAAAATTTAAATGGCTTTAGTTGAGTTAATCGAAATAATATGCACTTGTTCTACTAATACATTAGGTGCCTCGTCCTCCTCATAGTTGTTTTTTTTAACCTAAAGCTACAGATAAGGAAGACTTCCTACATTATAAAAATGGGACGCACTTTCTGCACGTGGCACTGATAAGCCGAACTAAATCAGGAAGACCCACATAGAGGCCAAACATGAGTCGCTATTTGGACCATATGACTCGTTCAATACTCTGAGAGTATTTTTCATGGATGCAGCAAAACTGCAAGATCTTGAGCCAAGATCTAGTAATTCCTATAAGGATATATGGCAGAAAAGACTTTATGTACAGTTTGCGCTACTGACCTCGTCATGTGGTTGGTTGTACAAGCAAAATTATCGTTTTTATTGGCAGTTGTTCCAATAAATTACTTACGGACCAGACTAACCCACTCAATTACGCGGGGTGTCACTCAGTGTTTGGGTGTATGTCAGAAAAACCGTTTATGGTGTACCCACTATTCTAGCAGGTACGTCACGTGGCTTAATTTGACTATGTATTTTTAAATTTGATTTTAATATTTTCGACGCGCAAATGTACCTAAAACGGAACTTAATACAGCTGAAAACTAGAGAAAATAATGCGTTTTTTGCGTATATTAACTGTGTATTTTTAATATTGATTTTAATATTTTAACACGTAAATGAAATCAAAACGAACATATTAGTACAGCTGAAAATGCAAAGAAAACGATTCACTTTTTGAGCAAATTGATTATCGATTCTGATTTTGATATTTTGAACACGTAAATTTAGCCAAAACGCCATTATAGTCTTGAGGCTCCGTTCTTACCAAAGCAGTTGTGAAATATTTTCCGATCGCTCATTGCCACTTAGTAGCTCACATTTGAATTTTATTCATGCTCTTCAATTTTCCTTACGTAAATTTTACCCACGTCACAAGTTGATGTAAATGATATGAATTTCACTGTCTTCATGCAATGTCTTTGGATGGGCAGCTTCAATTGTTTCTTCATGATTTCATTGCGTCTCAGATCTCGACCCCGAATAAAATTTAATGAACTTTCTCCGTCTTAATAACGATCGCATATTTAATCAGTTTTGCAAGAATCAAGTTTGTTTTCCGCAAAATGCACGCATTAAAAAATCTGAGTGCCTGAGCGAAATAACGAGTTATTTATCTCCCGGCTCCCATAATGCCTGGCAAGGGCAGCTGCACGTGTCCAAGAGCGTTATTTAATGGCCATCGGAAAATCGTTTTGAAATCCTGGTTAGCGTCACAGGGAACGGCGCAAACGTTTGGTCGACATAAGACGACGCTCTTATTTTCTTACTTTCATCATCGTTGATCGATGCCGAGCAAAAAGCCGAGCAAAAAAGATTAAGCTGTGATACAATTGGCAAAAAATTAATTGGAGATCGGCCGCGCATAAGTTGTGCACTGAAGCCGTGAAATTATTAATTCTGTGATTTCTATATATTTTTTTCATATATTTGTATATTACAAATATAAAAATATAAAGCTTTATAGGCTTTATATTTTTATAAAGCTTTTAAAGCTTTATAAAAATATAGAGCATGAAGCTTGCGAGTTCGAGACCGCAAAATGCTGTGGATGTTCTGCGATGTTAAGAATCGGCGACAGGCCTACGGCCTAATAAACGCTGAAACCGCTATTATTATTATTATTATTATTATTATTATTATTATTATTATTATTATTATTATTATTATTAAATTATTATATTTATATATAGCTTCATGAGAGTTCGACTCCATTGAAATAGGAGCTAGGTATCAATTTTATTTTTTCCGTTCTTAATTCTGGCGTGAACTCTTATGTCAATTAAATAGCATTGGCCGTGGGGAGCGCAGGGCCAATAGCAGCTCCGTACGATTTTTCACGCAATAGTTCAGTTTCGCGTGCAAAAAATTAGTCATACCAGGATTTTCGGGATGCATAAATGTATTCTGCGTTGGATTTCAGAGTTGCACCTCTCCTATTTTATTATTATGTTGCAGGTCACCCTTTTAATATTATTAACCGAAGCTACATTTACTGAACTATATGTAACTCCACTCACCTATATGATGCATTGTATTCCAACTGCTGTCGTTGGAAAAATTTCTCAGAAATGTGAGAGCGCAACATCCTTAATCAAATATCATTGAATTCCAATGATTGATGTAGCGTCTCAGAACACAAGCAGACATTGGCAATTCTATTATGGCTGTCGGGATTTCATTTAAGAACATTTCAGCGACGCCCGAATTGCGGACAAAGGATTTGTCAAATCCGCGCCACTCTCCAGATTGCAGCAAAGCGCCTTGAACTGCTAGGCCAATTTGGGAACCGTCGATGTTGGAAGCGGGACATTCCATAGGAATTTGGTTGAATGACCTCGTTGAATTTCTGATTCCTGTCGAGATTAATTGTTGAATGCCAGTGCCAACACTTGGTGTTGTTTGGTGAGATGTTATTATTGGCAAACCACGCCTTCTTAGTATAGTGCTCGCAGATGTGGTCTTATTGATATAAGAAGGCACAATATAGTATGTTCAGTGAAGTTCGCCTGTACAATAGTGTCGTATGATCTTAGTTGAATGGTGATGAAAGTTATAGTATCTTCACTGTTAAGTGGTGTTCGTTTGAATAATAGTGTCATATGATCTAATTGAGAATAGTACTAATGATTAGAGTGTTCAGTTGCGTTCGAACGAGTACAATAGTGTCGTATGGTCTTTTCGTAGTGATGAGCGATATGTCGTGTGCAGTGGTGTTCGGCTGAATAATAATGTAGTTGGCCTGTGTAAACGTGGAGCTTGTGGGATGCGCTCTTGGAAAATATTCACTTGACATTGAATTATTTTTTTCTTAATCGCTCGACTGTGCCAGTTTTCGATTCATTCCAGCAAATTTTTAAAATTCCAGTCTACTATCGTAAACACATTCCACAATTTTCAGCAGTTTACGAAAAGTATATTATTTAAAAATTATTAATGAAGAACAATTAGTGGAAATTGATTTTTATTATTTTGCAATTGATTGATTGATTGATTTTTATAACTTTATTAACCTCACCTTTTGAATGTTTGTTTTATGGGTCCATGAAAGACAAAAAATCAGATTGACAACATCAGGTCGACCAAAAATCATCTCTAGTGTGGCAAATGGATAAGAATTGTAATCCCATTCACTACGAATTATTAAATTTCAACTCCCAGCTTTGGCCCCGACGCCCCACCCACTCATGAGGCAGGATTTAGTATCAAATTTCTACGTCGATGGCGAGAATAAACGACCGCCTACATCGCACTGAAGTTAATTCGATGGATGAGAGCGGCGGCCGTTGGCGTAATTGCAGGTTCGAGTTTTGTGATCGGTTAAGGTGCAGGTTCCTCACATTTACCCAATTAGCGAGAAGGTAGTCCATTTTCCGAGCACTCGAGGCTCTAATTGCTTTTCGAAAGCAATTATTCTTCAATTTTTCGAAGAGAAATCATAAGTGAAGGAACAACCCAATTTTTAAATCAAAGATACTCTTCATTTACTTTGAAATCATTTGTTCACATTCAAGTAATGAAATGAAGCTAAAATAGAAAGCAACGACAAGCAAAAAATTTCAGATCGTTAATTCCGATTCGATGACATGAACAAAACTGATCAATCTATTGCCTTGATGGAAATCTGCATGTTTTGTGCAGCCAAACTTCAGGCCAAAATGAGATTGTTACGATTGCCTCACTGCGTTAGTATTACTTATTCTTTTTAGTGATTTTGCTTGCAATTTTTTTTTTGTTATTTTGAATATTTATTTAAATTAGTTTATCTAAAGTTATTCTTTATAAACAAGTAGGTATTCACACCGCGTGTGAACAGAACAAATAGTTCTTCATTTAAGGGGAGCGTCTAGGGTAAAATTTATCTCGGCTATTTACGAACGGATCACTCTGAAACTTGATACACATATGTAAAATAGAATTCTAAGACATTTTTGTTCGTGGGAATTTTTCGAAAAAATGAAAGAAAACGTTATCATTCGATGCGTAAAGACCATATCTAAAACGCAACACGAGGGCTTTTAGGATTTCTCATTTTTGTGGGCATTTTTCGTAAATTTTTCGAAAATTTTTCGATTTTCCCCCCGCCACCCCCCTTTTGCGGAATAAAATCCAAACTATAACGAAATTAGAAAAACGCCCGTGTATCGTTCTAGATAATTTTGTTGCGCATCGAATGGTATATGTCTCATTGTTGTAGCTTAAAAACTCTAGGAGGAGATAGGTTTGCAGTGACAATATGTTAACTTTTCAGTAGAGCCCGTCAAAGTCCCGCGCGCATCGGAATAGGCACTCAATGTAGCAAGGATACAAAACTAAACGTTACTGGAGCTTGATTCCAGTCAAACCCTCCCTTTCATGATCTGTCGTGAACGCATAAATCAACGTACAGAGATGGTTTTGGTACCGTTGGATAGATCAGAATGTCAGCTTTAAGATGAGACTAAAAACCGGAAAAGCCGAAATCCAAAATTTTACCCTAGACGCTCCCCTTAAAACACGTATCGTTAGGTAGGATAGTGAATACGACAGTAGTCGAATGTAAATGGTCACACATGTAAGTCTTATTTCCGCTGTCATATGTTCAAGTCGATTGAGCCCATGTTCGTCAATCACTATTGTATTTTTCGACCCTTCGCGCACTATACATGTAAGCCACTATACGATTGAAGAAACTTCCATGTATTGGACACCACGTGGTGAAAGCACAAGCACGCAGCGCCAGGATATAAATTAATTAAGAATAATGCATCACTTTTCACAAGCTACATGTGAACCATAATTACTATTACGAGCAATGTGGCAGGATCATTCTTACTATTACATGCAGTGTGTCGGGCACCATAGTCACTATTATGTTCAGAGTGGTGTTCACCATAGTCACCATTACGAGCAGTGTGGTGTGCATCATACTCCCTATTACATGCAGTGTGTCGGGCACCATACTCACTATTACATGCAGTGTGGTGTTCACCATACTCACTATCACATGCAGTGTGGTGTTGGGCAAAGAAGGTCTGCTGAAGTCCACCTTCATCTTCTGGAAGTCCTGCAAGAAGTCTCGGTTATCGAAATCCAGCCTGCGGAAATACATAGAAATGCACAAACATATGAGCGTGGAAGCGGTCAAATTTATGTTTCCAAAATTGAACATTCAATTTTTCAATCTTCTCTCTTTCAATCTTCTTTCGGTGATTTAAAATCAAATTTTAAAATCTAGAAATAGGAAAATTTTGAAGGCACAATCAAATTGTGAATAATTAATTCCACAAAACCTTTTCATGTACTTAAAATGCCTATATTGTCCTAAAGAAAAGTTTCACTCTCCAACAAAGTGCTTAGAAATATTTTAAATTATGATATGCAAAACAACCTCCAAATTTAACTAAGCAACGATTACGCACTTCATGCATTTCACTTTCAATTGGTAAACTCGGAGTCACAAATTCGCTATCGCACAGTAAAACAAGACACGCAGTTGATGTGCCACGCAGCAGCTCACCTATAAGACACGCAGTTGATGTGCCACGCAGCAGCTCACCTATAAGACACGCAGTTGATGTGCCACGCAGNCATCACCAGCACCAACATCCTCAGCACCAACATCCTCAGCACCAACATCACCAGCACCAACATCCTCAGCACCAACATCCTCAGCACCAACATCACCAGCACCAACATCCTCAGCACCAACATCCTCAGCACCAACATCACCAGCACCAACATCCTCAGCACCAACATCCTCAGCACCAACATCACCAGCACCAACATCCTCAGCACCAACATCCTCAGCACCAACATCACCAGCACCAACATCCTCAGCACCAACATCCTCAGCACCAACATCACCAGCACCAACATCCTCAGCACCAACATCCTCAGCACCAACATCACCAGCACCAACATCCTCAGCACCAACATCCTCAGCACCAACATCACCAGCACCAACATCCTCAGCACCAACATCCTCAGCACCAACATCACCAGCACCAACATCCTCAGCACCAACATCCTCAGCACCAACATCCTCAGCACCAACATCCTCAGCACCAACATCCTCAGCACCAGCAACAACAGCCACTACAACACAATAAGCAACCGCCGTTACCTCATCAACCGCAGTAACATGAATAGCAACATCAACATCAACATCAAGAACAAAAGAAACAACTGCATCTTAACTGTAAAAACTGTGGTAAGAGTTTGCTGTGTCATAATCTGCAGGGGCCACTGAATTTTTTCTTCTCAGATAAGCTATTGTCAATTATTTGAATTGCTTTTATAAAATAAAATTAAAATTTAATTGCTCATATACTTTTGATGGAATCATTTATAAGGCTTGGGCGAATATGTTTTACAACTATTCATGCCTCAGAAATGGAAATATTTCAAGAAATACAATCTTCGCTGAACATTTTTCTTTCTGAATTTATCGGAATCGGCGAAGACATTTCGAGCAACTTTTCGCCAAAGTTTTGCGGACGCTGAAATTCCGCGGAGAACTTGACAGGATTTTGATGACAAAAAGCCAAGCAAAAACAGTACGTCTGTTTACTCATTTGTCCGTGTAAACTTTCAACAAACACCGTATGCGTGTTTACATACGGGTGTCCGTATCAACTTCCAGCACGGATTATCTTAACAATAATCCCAAGTGAGATATTTTATATTTATGTAATGCATTGCAAACTTTGTCTGATTTATAGCTTTATGAATTGCATATTTGATTGCGACGGTGCTGAGGGATTCTACCCTCTAGTACTGCACACGAACCACACACCCATCATATGAACTACACACAAAACACAAACACGCTAAAAACGCAATCTCACACAACGTCTACACACATATTTATATCACACACGCAAACATCACACACCCTTTAAAACGCATCCCACACACCGCTCACATTTACAAAAGCACGCATCTCATACACGCAAACATAGCTCGCATCTAGGACCCAGCCCCACACACACACACAAATAACGCAAAAAATACATGCCTAAAATACAGCCTCAAACATCGTATACACACAAAAACATCGCACACACCCAAAGTACTGCACCACAAGCTATATATAAACCCACACATCACACGCACTTTGCCCACACAAAAACACAGCCTCACCCATCTTAATTGCGCACTCACACACACATCGCAACCACCTAACACAGCCCACACACACCCCGTATACCATACACATATAACACACAGCCCCACACAATACACATCACACACACCTAACACACAGCCCACACACATAGCACACAGCCCCACACAAAACACATCACACACACATAACACACACCTAACACACAGCATCACATACATCCCCACATACCACACATCACATACATCGCACGCACCGATGACGTAGTGAGTGAAGCCGACGCGGCAGCTGCGGTACTGCAGCACGGCGCCCTCGCCATCGAAGCGCGTCACGATGAGGGAAGGTGAACGCATCTTGTGGAAGCTGCGAGGGTAGAATAGAGGGAAGGCCTCGTGAACATGCATTCAAGATATGCATAAGTTTATAGTAAATATGCAAGAGTTTAGAGGGCAACTTCTTATTAATGCAATTCAAATAACAGTATCAGTTTGATTCAAGGCCATCATTAAAACAATTCGCAATAACGTGATAATTTAAGGTGAAACACTTATTAATAATTTAATATCAATTAAAAAATTGGGACCAGTTACGAACAAACCATTAATATTTTTTTTTGTAAGTGCTCGGTAATATAAATTGAAAATAAAGGCTGATGGAGACACCCCCGATTAGGCATTAAGATTACGAATATAAATTTTCTCATTTAATTTCAAGGTCTGAGGACGGTAAATATTTGAATCGAATTTCAATTGCAAATGTCATGAAGTGCACTTCGGTGGAGCTTCAGTTCTGGCGATATTTGCCATTCATGGACACTGTATAAAGTATAATAATTGAACCAGCCATGATAAAACTGAATTGAATTACGTTATCTTATATAACATGAAGACTCATACACTGCAAACTGTTTTAGTAATAACTTTAACTTTGGAGTGAAACAATATGAATATGCGGTAGATAATTGTACACAAGTAGAGAAAAATATAACTCAGTACTCACTGCAGTGAGTGACAGAGAGCGCATTTTCTCGTCGACGAAAACTTGAGGTCACGGACGGACGGACAGACAAACGGACATGGCGAGCACAATAGTGCATTTTTTCCATAAATGAAAAAATGCGCTAATAAGGCTATTATGCTTCTACGAATGTAGTCAGATTCAGGAGAGATGTCAATTTTTGCAAGATTTGAGGACTTCTTTCATTGGCCATTGGAGACACCAGCTATATTAACGAGTTAATGAGGATTATAATACTCAACATGATTGTTAATAGGTTTGATTAATTGTAAAATATTGCTTCATAATATCAAAGTAAATGAAAACTTCATATGAGAACCAATCAGGACCATTTTCTGAAAATGAGAAACTGGAAATTATTCTAACAGGGCGCGTAATTTCACACATTTCGTGGCCTAGAAGTTAAGACGCTCAAATAAATTAACTTTCTATGGTGCATATATTGGTTATTTTATACCTTCAGGATCAATGTTTTTTGTATTTTGTACCAATGAGAATACTTCTACGGTGTTCCAAAAAAGTAATATCGTGTACAATTTATTCTGCCGGTGAAAGTCGATTCCAATTGAAATATTTTATTTATGCGAAATTTTAAGATATAAGGATATTGTCCGCCGTGCATAGGTATTTGATATCACTAGGAAAAATCGAGGTCAATTTTCCAGTGACCGCCTAAGAACCAATATTTTTATTTTTTCTCAGGGGAAGAAAAACTAAGAAAATTAGGGCAGTAAATTTTTTCGAAGTTTGTGCAAACACCCGTTGCCGGAAATAATATTTAACTCCTTGAAAATCACGAGCAAACTTCGCCAGTGAATTGCAAAAGCCGAGAAAATAAAACAAATGGCTGGAATAAAAAGGAATGGACTGCTGGCGAGATCATCTTAGAAGAAAAGAAGAGGAGCCGAAAATATGTCGTAATTTGAAGACAGAGATTCTTCGCAGAGAATTTTGAGTAAGGCTAATTTGAGTTTAAAGCGTCGTTGAAGTTTAGACGAGTCACCCGCTCAAGAGGTCCTGATCCTATAAGACAGAGATTCTTCACAGAGAATTTTGAGTAAGGCTAATTTGAGTTTAAAACGCCGTTGAAGTTTAGACGAGTCACCCGCTCAAGAGGTCCTGATCCTATAAGACAGAGATTCTTCGCAGAGAATTTTGAGTGAGGCTAATTTGAGTTTAAAGCGTCGTTGAAGTTTAGACGAGTCACCCGCTCAAAGAGGTCCTGATCGGGCATAGGGGCAACGCTGGGGTCGAATTCCGCTGCTTCCGAGTTACTTTCATCCGATCGAATGCCTTCAGAATGTCGGGACAAAACTCGATTTGACGCCCATAACGAAAGCATTAAATATGAAATCAAGGTATAATTAGATGCCTGATAATTCTATGGAATTAAATTTAAAAAGGAATTTAATTAATTTAATTTATTTAAAATAATTTAAACTTACTGTATGATAATTTGGGTGTTGTAGTAGGCAAGAAAGAAAATTAAATTTTAAAGAAAATTAATTTTAGGCTTTGTGTTCCAAAAACTTCAAAAACCATGCACTAGTGTTATTTTTAAGTTAGAATTTTTTCATGAATTCACGTTTATCGAGAATATTGACGTAAAGTTTAAAAACCCACGGGATATGATCCAGATCTCAACTCGACCTCATGGATCAACAATCCTCCTCGAGAAGCTCAGATCGCAACCCTTACCTAGAAACACTACCGACTTCCTTGAGATATCTATCACTTCTTGGTACAGTTCTGTCTATCTTGATCCCAGTGATCGACTAATCTTCTAGATCTATCTTGATATTGCGTCCCCAGCGGCAGGAAAGATGCATTGATCCCGAGGATTGAGAATGTATTAGGGATAAATAATGCAAATAATAGCCTCGCTGTGGCGAAGGCTCATTGAATAGCAAGCTCTTCGTGAATCGGTTTTGAATATGTTATAAAATTTGTACTCGCTCGTTGCTAGTTTTTAGCGCATTTTCTCATTTATGGAAAAAATGCACTATTGTGCTCGCCATGTCCGTCTGTCTGTCTGTCTGTCTGTCTGTCCGTCCGTCCGTCTGTCCGTCCGTCCGTGACCTCAAGTCTTCGTCGACGAGAAAATGCGCTTTATGTCACTCACTGCAGTGAGTACTGAGTTATATTTTTTATACATTCATTTTAATTTGCTATATTTTTAACCCACGCGTGTTGTTCAGATATACATTCATTATTCACTGATTGATTCTATTTCTTTAAAGACTGATTTTTCGCCCCTAAATTTTCGGAGCAAACCCCTACTTTATTTTCTTCATTTGTATTAGTTAATCTTCGTTTTCAACTCATTACTTATTCGTATTACTCATATTACATATCCATTTGCATAAATGAAATTATATTGCCAAGTTCCATTGGATGCTTCAAATGAACGAAAATATTTACACAGATTTTATTATTGGTATTTTAAATGCTAATTTTGCAATAGATATTGCGGATTAACTTTTATGCTCTAGTTCATGTATACTAACCAGTCGAGCATCGATTTCCCTGAAATTAATGTTTGTAAAGGATGGGGCATCCAAGAGACCAGCTGGCTTTCGCCCCCGTTTGTTGTTTTTAGAAAATCCCACGCAATGTAAGGCTGCTTTCGTTATTGTGCGTACAAATATGTTTTTTTTATATTTTCCTTTGTTGTTTGTTACTTAGATGCATTTCAACTGCAGATACCATAAACTACAAATATTGACTGTTTCTGCATCGTGGTTTTGTTTCGTATCTTGAGTAATCTCATAACATCTCCTTTTTTGTTATCGATGTTTTTTACTGTATTCAGATCTTTAAGGAAAACAGCGCCATTTTATTACTCATCAGGCCCTTGTGATGTTTTTACACTTTTTTGTATTAAGTTATTTTTATTGATGCTCATAGGAGGTTTACTATGATATCCAGATATTCGTTTTTGTGATTGGTTTTCCGAGTTTTAACTTTACCAAGAACTCGCGCCAGGTTCTCATACCGTTTATAGGATATAATTGGCGGTACTGTAGGGGAAGAATGATCGGAGATCTCATCTCCTTCGATCTCCTTCGATCTCCTTCGATCTCCTTCGATCTCCTTCGATCTCCTTCGATCTCATTCGATCTCCTTCGATCTGGTGCCAATCATTCAGTAAGGCTCGCCTCAGGTCGTTTATTGATGTTTGTGGGTTATATTTTGTTTAAAGAATAGGTTGCGTCGTTGCGACATTTCTGATTTGATTTTCCGCTTACGACCTCTTTGAGTTGCTCCAAGAAAAGCTTTTTCCCCGAAGCCTCTTTGTCTCAGGTGTTTCTGGAACATTGTTACATTTCCGTTTGTGCCTTAGTATTTTGCCCTTCACAAAGCCTTTCAGACAAAATGAGGAAAGAGCACATGAGGGCTCAATAACACTGGGACGCTTCTGTTGCTTTGAAATAAGTTTTGGTGTCCATAATTCCGTTCTTATGGAAGTTTTCTCCTTTATATATTGTGAGGTTGAGAACGTTTATCTCCCAATTACTGATTTCCATCGTGAATTTTAATGACTGGTGTATCATGTTAATTTCTCTAAAAAAATTTTTGAGATCACCATCACATGCTTCGCACAGGATGAAAATGTCATCTCTGTATATATGATACATAATAAGTTTGGGAATTTGGTCTACAAAGTTTCTCTCCAATGAGTGTAGGTATTCATAAGCAATCTCGGGTGAGTACCTAGACCCCTTGGCTAAGCTTATCACCCCCTTATGGAATGTTCCATTGAATTTCAGGAAGTTGTTTTCAAGAATCAGCTCTAGGATTTCCCCGAAGTCCATCGTATTGATTTTTTTAATTTCATATGGAAAAATTCTGGCACCGTACTCTTTCAGGTTTACGTCGATTGCTTCTATTAATTTTAATGGGATGTTAGTGTACATGGACACAATGTTCACTGACACTAGAAAGACGTTTGGGCCCAATTTAAGCGTTTTTGCGTTGCAGACTCGTATGCATTTCATGACTTTCGGTTCAGAGCCAGGTTACAATGCCTTGATTTCCTGGTTAAAAAAGAGTAAAACAACCATGACAGGGTCAAACGCCCATGCAGAATGTTTTTGCATTATGCTTACCTAGAAAGAAATGATCAGCTACAACTCATGCATAGTTGTGCCTTGTCACTAGTTATTTGGCCCTTGAGACCACTTATAGCCCCCAGAGGCACTTTTGTAATCTATATAAAACCCCTATTTACGATGGCCTAAGGCCTCGTCAAGGGCAGCCCTAGAGAAACTTCTTGAGGAATGTGACGAAAATAAACGACCCTCCAGAGACTTCATTAGAGGGCAGGCAATTGTGTAGGCCCCCCGGGCCTGCGCGGTTAATTACGCGGAGGACCAAGAGTTGCGAGAGTTCTTGGTGACCTACGGCTTGAGCGGGTCATTATAAGTGGATCATTTACGGTGGAGATAAAATTTTAAATGGGAGAATATTTCTTGGCCGAATAGCTGATTGTTTAGTCTTTAATGTACAAGTTTTGTTTGTTTGGGGTGCAGCTTTACTGTGCCTTGCTTATTCACGGCTGAACTAATATATATTAGCTGGAGTGGGGAGGATTTGCTCTCATCGTAGTAATGTCTGATTCGCAATTTTTAGTGACGATATGACGAGTTTCCCGGCAGAATTATGAAGCAAGTTAGCTAGGTTTGTTTCCTTTAAAATATTTAATTTTGTGATAGACTGAGACGCGAAACGATCTTGGGTGGTTGAGACTGTTATAGGTTGGGTGGTTGAACAGTTAGTTATAGAACTATCTTATAGGTTCAACTCGAGCAACTGCTACGCCCATTTCGTAGTCAATTAACTTATCGACCAACTCGGAAATGAAAACGTCGTGCCTCAGATGAACTTGACTAATTCTAATAATTCGGTACTTGAATATTTATTTAACTTCGCTATTTAAACAAGTACTCCGAATACCAGAGCACACAAATACATAATATTCGAATGTGTAAGTACCTGAACACATTACATTTGAATCACAACAATTACCTGAATCTGAGTTGTGCGTGCAGATTGTCAACCTCCTGCAGGAAGTGGCAGAAGTGGCGACCAGCACGGCGTAGAACCTTGTCGTACCCGTAGCTGCTGCAGTACCGCACGAAGCACCTGCAGCAATAAGAGAGAGTGTAGCTGCTGCAGTACCGCACGAAGCACCTGCAGCAATAAGAGAGAGTGTAGCTGCTGCAGTACCGCACGAAGCACCTGCAGTAATAAGAGAGAGTGTAGCTGCTGCAGTAGCTGCAGAGAGTGTAGCTGCTGCTTTACTGCATTTATAAATACACGTTTTTGAATGAAGTGGTGGAAGTTAATGCACTAGTTTATACGACACGGATGTAGAAGTGGATATGAGGAGATCACAAATGAAAGCGTAGCTCCAATAACATGAAAGTCGTCCTGTTTTAGTCTGTTCTTGTATTTTCACCCGTCAAGAAAGATCTCCAGGCTTCGAACGAACAATCAAAAGGTTTACCTCTCTAGTCATTAGGTAATGTCTTTTACCTGCCAATGAAGGCCGGTAATGCCAATAATATTCATATATTGTCGCCCTATGTGGTCGACCTCGCCTATGAGTACAGTGCAGGCCTCGTAAAGTCTTGTACAGTCACCTGCCGAAAAAGACCATGTAGTCCTCCTGGTCGTCCTCGCCTATGAGTACAGTACTGGCTTCGTCAAGTCTTGTACAGTCACCTGCCGAAAAAGACCATGTAGTCCCCCTGGTTGCCCTCGCATATATGAGCACAGTACATGCCTCGTCAAGTCTTGTACAGTCACCTGCCGAAAAAGACCATGTAGTCCCCCTGGTCGCCCTCGCCTATATGAGCACAGTACATTCCTCGTCAAGTCTTGTACAGTCACCTGCCGAAAAAGACCATGTAGTCCTCCTGGTCGCCCTCGCCTATGAGCACAGTACAGGCTTCGGCGAGCTGGGTGAAGATGTGGTCAGGGTACCGCACGTGTGGATCGAACACCGTGTTCTTCACCCCAGCGAACTCCAGCACCTTCGACCACAGAGTGTCCCCGTACTCTGCCTGGATCGTGCAAAAGAATAAGAAAGATGTTTGTGCTGCCTAGGTACATGTAGTTATGAATGATTTCAACCCAAATTGGTGATTCGAATATATTTTTCAAGTGTAAGAAGCATCATATGATTTTAATTTCAAACAATTTTAGTTTAATGACAACATTGCCGAATTAATGCAGTAACCTCCAACACTGACGTGACTACAAATTTTTCCTAATCCATAGAAATCCGGAAATTTTGTTTTGTTATAAAGAAGACGCCTTTACATCGGATATTAAATCTTAGGGAAGTAATTTGTTCCATAAAATTGACTATTTTTTACACTTTTGTAACCTTGGCATATTCTTCACACTTTGATAAAACTTACAACTCCAAATGTCTAGAGACATCGTTTAATTATCCTGAAGTATAATTCAAATAATTTCAATGAGAAATAAAAAAATGAACTACATTTGATTAAACTTGGCACAAAACAATCACTCTGTGATCAGTATTAGAACGATTTCATTGAAAAATAAATTAACTACTTGGAAATTAGAGCTGCAGCTCAGGCATTAATTAACCAGGAGGGCTATTAATTGCAGCAGTGTTCTATCCGAAATTACGAGCACACCAAACATTTTAAAAAACTACGACTCCAGAAAGTGAAATCCGAAACAACTCAATAAATTTCTCACCTGTCCGAACTGACAAGCGCTGAGAAGCAGCATGCCATACATGGCGCAGGTTTGATCCGAAGCTCTTGTCCTTTCAGTAACTTTATCTGGGATACAACTTGGCGACGGAGCTTGTCCCCTGTAACTATCTTGCCTAGGATATACACATCCCACAGATTTGGATTTCGTCAGATCAAAAGTTGGGAAATGTCGATCAAACGAGGAGCCTCTGTTCACGCTGCTCAAACACCTTTGTGAACCGATCTCTTTTTGAATCGGTAATTCTATCGGTTGACAGCCAAGTTTCTTTGCGTTATCGTCCGATTTTGTGCGACGATAAAGGCTGTCAAATTTAGGACTGAGATCAAACTCTTGAGAAGTTTCCCTCGTTACATCTTCCGGTTTATGCTCAATGACTTTAGGTCTTCCGATGATTCCGAGCTTTCTTCGCCTTGCCGCTCGGTTAGAGATTTCGATTTTAGGAGTTTTTAATGAGTTCTCCTCTACAGCACAAATCGTCCTTATTTCCGGTAACGGTTGAGAAAGCTTCCTATCTGAGTTTTTAATTTGGATGGAAATGTCGCTGAACGGGCAACGAATTACTGTTCCTGCTGATTCCTCCCTCGGAGTGTCAAGTTGGAGGTAAACTTCATCAGCTAATTTATAACCATCTGAGACTGGCCTTTGCTTTATCTTTACTCCATTCACTTCATTACTCTCTTTCAATTTCTTTGCACATTCTACATCGTCTGTAAACAGTTCTACTGGCTCGGTGAATTTGAAGTCAGTGATTCCATCCACTGAAATAGAACAAGTTTCTAGATCCGCCAAAACCTCCTCTGTGTTAAGTGGAAAAAGTGGAGAAAGCTCTTTGGAAACTCGGCGATTTGCTGATGTAAAATTGAGAGACGATGGAGCCTGGCATATTGGGGGGAGGTCAGGGTGGTCGAAAGCCCCCTCTACTCCCCCCTTTAAAGTCCGACTTTTCTGAAAACTATGAACGACGGCGATGTTCTTCTCGTATCTGCTAGAATTATCCGATTCTTCGTCGTTGTCTCGGCTCTTCTGAAATCTGGAAGTAAATGAAGATATCATTAGAGCAAAACTCCTAACTTTACCGTTCAATTAGTGCTTTTTTGCATTCATTAGTGGAAGAAAGACGGTAAAATTTTATTTTCTCAACGCGCCATGGAGCGAGTCAGCCAGAATCACAAGTTTGAATGATTTTAACTGGGAAACATTAACGGATGAGGAAACTGGCTTGCCATCATTGCGGGCATCTTTTCGTAACTTGAAGAAGGTTTGAAAAATTCATCTAATGTGCAGGAACTTATTTTAGTTTTTTGTAAATCTTCTAATTACAAAGGACTGAACTTTCGAGGTAGCAAATTAAATAGATATTGTTACGATGTCGAGCGGCTTCTATATTATTACTTTCGTGACTGTTAAAGCCAGCGGATCTTGACTCAAATAATGCGTATTTTCGAGAGTTTTTTAGCGAGCGGTGACGTAGCCTCGCGATGTCAACATCGCGCTTGTAGAATTCCAAAAAAGTCTACAATTTTCTTAATGAGTTCACGAGCAAACGTCAATATCGCAGTCCGTACTGTAAATTTTGCTTTAAATTACTGTATCAACACATACATAGTATGTCTTCAATCTCATATCATACTCGTTCGCAGATGTACATTGATTAGACGCATATTGCACAAATTTAGTTAACTGAGCATCAGCATTTGTAAACTTTCTTCTACACCAATATATAAACTTACTTCTGCAAGGAAACGTGTACGTTTACATCCACGTATGTAGACTTGCATCAATAAATTCAGATGATCATTGACATCTTAACGCTAGTTCCGGCACATTCATCCTTGCACCGATGTATTCATCAATGCATCAGTATATGCTTGCGACACTATATAATAACCGAGGAATAACCTAGCCATATTATATTTATCCTTGCGCCTTTGTTATCACCGTTACCTCATTATGGTCTCCCTGTAACACTGTTTTATTATATGCTTCAATATCTTTGCCCATAACTCAACCTCGCTACATTGTATTCACCCTTGCCTGAATATATTCATATTACCATATTATATTCATCCTTGCGCCAATGTAATCACCGTTATACCACATTATGGTCTCCCCTGTAACACTGTTTTATTATATGCTTCAATATCTTTGCCCATAACTCACCTCGCTACATTGTATTCACCCTTGTCAGAATATATCCGTATTACCATATTATATTCATCCTTGCCCGCAATGTAATCACCCTTACCTCATTATGGTCTCCCCTGTAACTCTGTTTTATTATATGCTTCAGTATATTCGCCCATAACTCACCCTCGCTACATTGTATTAACTGTTTTTAATGAATAAAATTAATAAATCATTTTTGTTGGAATGGTGAGTGTGGGAGGCCTTGAATTCACCCTTGCCAGAAAATATTCACCCCTGCACTAATCAGAACTGCATTACGCAAGGACCCTGTTTAATCACCCCGCCCGGCTGTACCCGGTCAGCAGCGTTGCGTGCGTCACTATGACCATCACGTGACATCTTCACATATATCAATTACGATCATCTTGAGCCCTATTCATGTACAGAAATCATGATCATACCCTGACTCTTTAATGTATAGTTAATGATAAGTTCTCAGTCGCCTGCAGTCGTATCGTAACCAGATCCATTTGTGGTGACCTTAAAATACATTCTAATTGATTGGTGACCTCAGAGAGAAGCTTAGTTCAATCAAGGGCAGATTAATTGGTATTGATTTCATTGGCGACCTCAAATTGAATGAGTGTTCAATTTATTGATGATCTCATTATCGGTATCTAAATTATTGATGATCTTAAAGTCTTCATCGGTTATTAGAAATCTAATGACCTTAAATAATCTCATAAGTGTTCCATTGATCTCAAATAAAATAAAAAATTTTACTTACAGCTGAAATAAAACTTATTATTAATTGTTATTATTTGAAAGTACTATTCACGGTTCCGATTACGTACATCTGTAGTACGATACACTCATTCCATCTTTGACGAATTGATTAATAAATTTCTGACTTCGGGGGCCTTTACAATCAACAGTATTTCAGAGCTTGTAACTCCGTCAGCCAATCACATTGGCCAAATATACCTTAACGTTATTTCTGACAGTACGGCCAATGATATACAGGAAACATCTCAAGGTTTTACTTCGATTCTGTTAAAAATATAATGAATCCAAGATTAAATAGTTTTCAGATCAAGTAACAGAAGGAAACTCGAGTCAACTTTTATGCTGCATTTAATTCCACTCTTTATTTCAGTTCGACGATCCCTCAAGAGAAGCAAACTGAATTTTACTGCTTGCTGCATAATTCCTTGATGCCCGTGTTGACTCAAACAAATTCCCCTCGCTTGTTTTCGCCACGCAAAACTACCGATGTTTTTTGTGCTTCTTCATCCAGCTTTTTTTATCAAAATTTTGCATCAAACATTTCCTCCGAACAACAACTGCGCCACAAATTCCTTTCAGTGGGACAGTGCAAAATTGTTTATATTGTTTACAATTTACATTTAACTGATTGTTAATAAACCAAAGTCATTCAATGATCAATCAGTTGTCAAAAATTTATGTGTAATATAAATAAATTTATTTTAATTGAGCGTTCTTTAATTACGATAGAAAGATTTGTGCTCTAGCCATTGTAGATATTGTGAACTTTATTTATTCTTTACACTGACATTACATGTAACTAATATTTGAAGTAAATAAATTTTAATATCATTTGTGCGTTTCCCACGAGATAATCTGTTGAATTTTAGTAACTTTTTTCTATTTTAATCTCAATCTCTGTTTATTTTTATGCATTTATAGGCGTCAAACGAACACGATTGTCTAAAGTATGAAGTTATTGAGAACTTGATATTGAGTAATTGAGTAATTATTGAGTAATTATTGAGTAATTGAGTTATTGAGTGATTTGTGAAAAATTAAAACAACAAGCTAATTTTTACGTGATAAAATGCCGAAATTTAACAAATTATCACAAATAATTTACTTTCGTCCAATTATTTCTCAACTAATCAAGTGAAGACCACTTTTATTTTACTGCCACACTTATATACATACTACCTCATTACATCACTCGCGGTGAACAGTCCTCAACTATTGTCTGCATGCAATATAGGATTTCATCCTTTTTGATTAGAGAATCTCATATATGCGCCTCCTGCAGCTCGTCAAAGACAGGTGTGATGGGGTCGATCTAAACACCGAGTATTTCAAACAACTACAGTTCAGATTTTGGGCTCAATACTCATTAATCATACCTATATCCTCCATGCCCTGCCATATTGCCAAAGAAGATTCTGCCTGCTCGGCCGTGAGCAGAGAAAGCCTTCAGTAACTATATTTGAAGTGGCCGGTTAAGTTTCAGCCATGAGGCCTTCAGTGTGAAAGAGGCAATTGAATTACAGTCATGAAAATAAAGTACGTATGATGCCATATATTAGGAAATATATGGAGTACCCTAGAAAAATTATCAGCTTTCCTGAAGAAATACCTTTGTTTGAATGCATGGAAGGGAAACTTGAATTTTGGCGCTGGCCACAAAAACAAGTTCGCCTGTCCTACGACTGGGCGGACATTTTTTTGAAGTTAAATCCTCGAAAAATAGCTATATGTGATGTAAAATAACTTGTTTATACACTATAACACATTCTTCATCACTAATAATAAATATGTTTCACTTACTCATATTTTTTACCATTTTATGATAGTTTTTTAAATAAAAGAGAGAAATAAAAAAATCTACCTGGTGTTAAATTTCGAACCAATTTTACCCCAGCCTTCGGTATTTTTCGTTGCTAACCACCTGCAAAACCTAGAAAAATACTTGTGAATCTGATGAGATTGTTTAATGAAACTTAATCCTTGAATCTCTGATGAGATCCAAGAGCTTTTTAAATGATTATTGCTTGGATCTATTGACATCAGACCGTTACATAAAAGAAAGCTAGCTTCATTCAAATGCTTGGTCTGCTGCTTAGTGCCGCTCCTCCAAACAAAATACAACTGCTAAGATTATTTTCATCGTAAGATCGAATCATGAACGCGGCCACAGACGCATAGGGTATTAATAGTTTTTCTTCCATTAAAAAGTTGTTATTTGGACGCTTAGAAAGACTCAGGATAAACAAGATAAGATTTTTGATGTTCATTGATATTCGGCTCACTGCTTCGCCCATGAAGACCTCATTTCAGAGACCAGATTGCCGCGGCACCGCCAGTGCGCTCTAAGAATTCTCAATTTACAACTTCTACATCTAAAACTTCGCCAATTGTGCTCTAATAACATTCGATTTAACAAAGTAAGACAAAAACGTAAGGGTAGACTTCTCATTTTTAGCCTTATCATCACGACCAATCTGAAGCTCGGCCTGTTCTAGCCTTAAAAAATTGTATTATGAAATAGAAAGATTCGAGATTTTTTACTATCATTGTCATTCAAGAGTCAATGATTTAATAATTCAAGTCTTTAAGAACTGTATCAATCAGCTACTTCATACCCTGAAAGGAATGAATTCTAAACTCATATTCAATACACCAATATCCGTCCTGCATGAGCATAAACAAAATTGAATGACTGCGCATCCAGTAATATATTGCGTCATATTAACAAACGCTCAGTACCATGTCAAAACCATGTCAAAAAAACCATGTCGACTATGTCAAAAAATTTTACCAGGTATGGGAAAATTACCATTATACATTTCATGCCACGCAATTATGCTATAAGCTGTTCTCAATTACAATAGTATAGTAAACATTATTATATTTCATAATTCCAGCTTTTCTAAACTTAAATTTTTGTTTTCGCGAGCTAAATGTTGAAGTCTGATGCGCAAATCACAGAAATTTAATTATCTGGAACTGCCGATCCAAGCCTCGCCGATGAGTGAACGCACGAAGAAAGAAGAATTTTTTTAACGTAAACCGAAACCTTTAGGAGAACATGAAACTGCAGGAAGCTGCACTTGAGAGGGTTTGTGAGGGTAATTGTGAGGA